CGCGTTGACCATGGTGGGAAGCGAGCAAGACGCGGTACGATCATGTGACTGCGGGTGTTTCCCACGCTCTCGCAACTCTATTTCTCGCGTCGGACATGGCATGCAACTACGCTGATTTAGCGTACATTATGGGTACAGTATACAATCCAGTGATATAAATAGCAATACACGATAACTGAACACGCGATACAAGGTGGGATATAGCGGGGGATAGGTATAAGTGTACGAAAGCAGCGCTGAAATCACGTCATCATGCTCATTCCCTAATAATCATTGGTCAGAAAGCGGCCAAGGGCATGAGTGGGCCAGATGACTCACATCGCCTGAGGAGCCGCATCTCGATCGTCGTCGAGGCTACAAAGGGATTAGATATCGTCGAACAAGGCTTTCCGGAGCTGAACTAACAGATATTCCGTTCGATTTCGGAAGAATGCTAAGGAAGTCCCCTGAAACGACAGAATCAGCCAGATGGAGTGCAGGAAAGACATGGACCATACACAGGTAAGCATGTGCTCTTGCAGCTGAGGCCGGTGCCGTCTCAGCCTTCCGCACAGCATCGAGTAATGTGGACGCGACAAAGCGGACTTTGTGAACCAGACTCGGTCCGTTTGTGGCGATAGACTGGATGGGAATGCTGCAAAGATGGTCAAAAAAAAAAACAGATAGGACCGATAGCAAGGATTGCACCTGTGGAGAATGTTGAGTAGGTCGCTGGCGACCGCTTCACGATCCTCGCCAACTTTTTGTTCATCGATGCTTCCATGAATGGACAATATCAGCTCGTCCCGATATTGCTCGATGACAAAGCGAACTAGTTGCTGCACATTGCTCAGTCGATGTTATAATGATGACATGGTGGCCGCTTACCTGGGTCACGTATATGTTTCCTTGGACGACAAGAAAGGGATTCAGGGCGTTCTCTCGTGAGGCATTAGGGTTATCGAAAAAGTCCTTCACTTCGGCAAAGGTGGCTTGCCGGAAGCCAGCGCCGCCATATTCAGCTGGCACGTTGTGTGAAAAAGAACGCTTCAGCCGGAGAGGCTCTGAGCAGTGCGCTAACGCCGACATGATCCGACCATGCAAGGACTGCACTTCTTCGAGCCGCGCAGTCGCAAACTGTCCTTGAGGAGGAGATCGCTTGTCGACACGGATTCTGACAAGAATTTCACCAAGCAAGGCGAAGATTCTCGACGTGTAATTCAGCCCGGAGACGATGGCTGAAGCTGTCTCAGTGAACTGTATACAGGAGCAACTAGTTCACGCGCACCTGTCTTGCCTTGCGGTTGAGGGAGATAAGCACTCGGAGTGATGCTGTAACCTGTGAGACGGATTTATAACCCCCGCCGAGAGAGACGCACTATTCATCGTCCAGTTCTTTGGGGAAATGCACTGTGCAATCTTCGTCTCGCAAAGAGATCGGCCTGCCGAGTAGGATGGACATGGACTTGTCGGCTGCAACGATGAGCAAAGCTAGCCAGCCACCGCAGAAAAATGATGTACCTCCGAACAAGAGCCAGAACACACGCCGCCTGACCTCGGATTCAATTGGGTCCATGCCTTCGTAAGCGGCCTCCTCGTGCAGTCGAAGAGTCATGGCGATGTGTGCAGCCTCCCCGAACGCAGCATGCTGTGTAGCATCATGACCTTCGCAGAAATGATATACACAGTCACTGCGGAGGAATTGAGCAGCTGAGACGGTGTGGGGGGAGTAACAGCAGCGACGAACAAGTATCGAATAACGACGTGCATCGAAGTAGGTGGATCGTAGGACGCTATCGTGATATGGCGACTCGCTTCGTGACATGTCTGTGGGCTTTGAATAAAAAGGACTGGCGAAAGTAGGATGGATCTACAGACCTGCGCCAGTTTGCGAACCACAGGACGTTCCATCGGCAGATACGACCGAGGCAGCTGAACCAACGTGGACGCAACCGTCGACATGACCAGCGCAAAAAACAGCGGGTCTCGCTCTTCTCTCCGAGCATGCAGGTCGGCCATGAACGATGGCTTGTGAATACACGGGGTCAAGGGATACACGAAGTCGAAGAAGAGAGCAATGATTAAGGAGATCGTATCGCGGGGAGCAATTTCGTCCAGCCGACGGGGTCGGTAATAGTATGAGAGAGGGGGGACAACATTCGGAGGGTGGGAGGGGAGCGCCTGATGTTGTTTGTATGACCAGTTATAGAGGGGATACGTGCTGAACTGTTCCGACGGAGATTGGAATTCATCCAGTTTTGCGCTGTTGCCACCCAAGTTGAAGGTGTTCGAGGAGTGGAACGGGGGAGGAGAGTTGAACTGCGGGTGGAATGTATCGGCGGCGATCTGATACCTGGATGGCGGCACCGCGACAGAGTTCACGGACGGCTCGAGGAAATTAGAGGGAGGGCTTTTGGGGCCGAGCGTCGGGGAAACTACACTCTGCGTCGGACTGGCGATGGTGGAGACCGGGGATGCCGACTGCTCGGGCTCCGAAATCACGGGCTCGGTCGTCTCCCCGGTCGTGGATGCAGCGGCAGCGGCAGCCGCCGCCTCTTGGAGTCGACGCAAATAGCTGGGGAGTGCTGCTCGAATCCGTTTCGCCGAATAAGTCAAGACATACTCACAGATTCGGCGGCCCGCGCTTTTTCGGCTGATAATCGTATGTGCACGGGATACCCAAAGTAATGCAATGCTTGCAAGACTGCTTTGGGTCTTCCCCTTCTCGAGCGCACCGCACTTTACGCGCTCGACATGCGTCGCAGCCTGTTGCAGGATCAGAGACACGAAAGTACGCCTCGAATGATCGACGTACTCTGCGATTGCCGCCTGCGCAAGGAATACATGTTAGCACGCGCGATCCAAACGAAGGGGAAAACAAGAACAAGGTGGACATGGATAGCCGTCAAATGGTTGTGGGGGCGGGGCACAGGGGAGGTATGCAGGTGGCGATTGGGGAAGAATGTGGGGAAAGCAAAGACGGTTCGGGGTATCCTCGGAGTTAGAGAGACTCACTTTCGTTTACTTTTGGTGACAGAATCCTTGCTGTTGCTATTAGGGGAATCCTTCGAACAGACCTCCTCATCGGATGAAATGCTCTTGTTTTCTTTCTTTGGCCGCGAGACAGGCATTCGCAAGTGCGGGGCTGTTTGAGTAGTCTGGGGTAGCTAGGTGATCACGCACTCTTCGCCAGCCCTCATTTTATGGCCTGCCGATTGATCCTTCGATCCAATGATTATACTCTCTCTGGATCAGGCGAGCGCTGCTGAAAGCCTTCATCCCAATGTCCAAGTTACGATGGGTTGCAATCACGAGGTCCGAGAAGGGTCCCCCGGTCAATCTCCGGACTCTGGGCACGGCAGAGATTGGCATCTCGGCTGAAAGCGAACTTCTCAGCAATCCTCCCAGATCTTGCCAGATCGAGATGTCCGTTTTCGGCAGCTCTCGGGGTCTTTTGCCAGGTCAAAGCAAGATTATACAATGTTCTATCGTACGGCTGGAGTCCTTGCTCGCAGGTGAGAGATCATAGCCTGTCTCTGGTGATCTTTGATCCATCCCCTCTTGTGATGAGCGACCGTCGCATTGGAAATCCGTCCCCGCAAATAAGCTTGCTCGCGGTCGTGCCATCCCACACTTCTCGCCAACAGCAAATCCCAGAAACGGTATGCCATAACAGGGTCGTCCATTTCCAACGCCCGGAGGACGAGAAATTTGCCGATGTGTGGCGAGTTGACAACGGTCGAGCCGCCCACCGATTTGATGAGATTCATGACCCCCCGAGCTTGGCCCGTTGGGTCAGTGGCGACTGAGTGTCAAACGAGAGACTGCCGCGAATCAGGGACACGATGGATTTGTAGGTCAAAAAACAGGTCCGGAGCCCCCGAATTTGCTTGACCATCTGCTGGACCAGGCCAGAGTCTCCGTGGCTCAGCGCATGGTGCATGATGGTCCCATACGTGATGCGATCGGGCTCGAGGCCCTTGTTCGCCATTCGCTCGACGAGCCCAGCCGCCGTGCGAGGGTCGTGTTCTGCGACAGCGGAAACGAGAACATTGATGTCAAAGACATCTGGTACTTCCCGCCGCTTGAGCATCATCTTGAGAACATTAATGCCGCGAACGTAATCGCCAGTCACGAAGCAGGCTCGCGTATACGAAGTGAGCACTCGGTGGTCCGCTGTCTCCAGTGGTTCGTGGGCAGCCGCAAAGCTCGTCAGCACGTGCTCCAAAATTCCACGAAAATCCTGTATCAATTGCGGCTCCGTGTCGTCGTCAGGGGGATAGGCCGACGCGGGGGCTAGTCTCATAGACTCCTGCTCGCGCCGGATTAGGTGTTGCAAAAGGCTGACCATTCGCAGCATCGTGGTGGGATGCCCGCGGAATGCAGCCCCATCTCTAGGAGCTTGGGCATATCGGGTCCACAAATCTCTGGCAACAATCGCATGACCTTGGGAAGCAAGACCGCTGACTATGGCTGGGCGATGTTCCGGGGCAAGCGGAAGATTCAGAGCGTATATGTCCTCGCCCATGACTTTCGCAAGTGGGGAGTGCGACTCCAAAAGAGCCTTGGTGAGCCAGGGGATGGCCGTTCGGGACGGAGGAGGATAGCGATGCGTTTCAACGATTTGCGACCAGTGGGTAAAGGAAAACAGCTCGCGCGCGTCCTCGACATCGTTGATATCCTCTGCTGCAAGGTAGAACTGCCGAATGATACCGTTGGGGAGGGGTGCGATGTAATGCATTTGTACAATCAACGCTCGGCAAGCACGCAAGTCTCGCTGCAGCGGCTCATTCAAACAGGCATAGATAGCGTCAATCGCCAAAGATATCACTGGCGGAGAGGGCGAAGAATTGAGGAGCGGTTTCAGCAGTTGGGCGGCTAACGGGTGCCAGCGCCAATGCAGACAGGCTCTGATGAGCGAGTAACGGACAATGCAATCGAACTCTTCCACTCCCGGGACTGTCTGCACTGCTTCTGAGGGAAGATTGCCACTCGCAACCAACATCCGAAAGAGTTTTAGAGCGTGCTCGTTTGCGGAAAGCTGGAGAAGCCTTTCGACATACGCAAAAGAGGCATGGATGAGATCGTCCGGCTGATACGCAAGGAGGGCAGATCCAGCCGGGGGTCGTAGATGATGGAAATGGGCCGACAGGATCCGGATCATGATGTTGGGGATGGAGTCTTCGGCGTTCACCGACACTGGTGACTCGCTCTCGGCCGCGTCGGCGAACGTCCGTAGAAGCACTGCGAGGTGTGGCACAGGGAGTCGTTTCAATGCCTGAAGCGAGGATTCAGCACGAGGGAAATAAGTTACGATGCGGGTGAGAATCGAAGAGTCTATGAGTGGAACTGCCGAAGAGGAGAGGATGGACAAGTACAACGATGAGCGCTGCGTCTCCGGACAGATCTCCAGGGCGTCTTGAAGTATCTGATTGACCAATCCAGCTAGCCTCTTTTCCGTAGCATCATCGAGCAGCCGGATGTACGCGGAGTTGGGTAGGGCTGCAAGAGACGAGCGGTCAACTAAGCGGACATGCCTGTATGCCTGCAAAATGGGTAACGTTTTCACTTTATCCTTCCCCGCTTCAAGTTCGGATTCGTAGAGAGAGGGTGATTCCGGGGGAGTTGTAAGCAGCTGTAGGAGTGCGGCTGCACCCGGAGTGACACTAGGACGCGTCCGGATTTGACGACGGTGCCCAAGTTGGGCGCGTAAGGTACGGAGTTGTAAGGATGAAGCATAGTCGCGTTGGAGGGGTCGTGTAGATTCGAATTGAAACAAAATTCGCCGGCAAAGTAACATAAGTTAGCTGGAACTTGAGTGAGTTGCCACTTCATGGTCCCCCAGTCCGCCCTCGTACCACATGCCGCGCTGATCAGCTCTCTTTGCAAACGCCAGCGTATGCGCGTTTGGCGGAGTTTATGTCAGTGCAGGATAAATGCAAGTTTCTTGTCTTGTTCTTCAAGCCGACCACGCTGGGACGAAAACTTTCGGGAGTCACGTGAGATACTGACGTCAATGATGGGTCGTGCGCGTGAGTGACTGTCCCAGCTTTGATTGAACACTACTTTCGTAAGTCGAGGGCATAAGTAATTAGTAAGATCTAGAAGGGACGCAGAGGACCGGATCTTGCTGATCCTCATCTGCCTTAGAGCATCTCGTCCGGTGTCCCAACGTGTTTCCTCGCCTTCGCCCAACTGCTCCCCTCACGTTGGATCAGCCCGCCTTCGGGCTCAATACGAAACCGGGAGGTCACCTTGCAGCAAGTAAGACATGCGCAGAACGCAATCGGTTCGAGTCCCGGTCCTTGCTCGGTCGGCGTCGCGATTGGCTGCAAAGGCACTAATCCAATTCCAAACGCCGCCGGCCTCCGGGTCAAGTATGGCCAACAACTCATGAGTGGTCAAGTGTCCTATGAAGTCTGGACTGGTTGATTTGAGAAGTCCCGGTGTTTTTTGCAGCCCGCTTGGCGCCAGAATAGTCTGAACCTAACATCCGGGTCGATTCTGATTTGCGTTGCGCCGGCCCCGTCGTCGACGTCGCGACTCGAGTTGGAGGCGCATATAATCGTTAGCAGTTAAGTTCCCATCAAAGCACAAATACGCCACAGCAACGCGGTGCAGCGGTCACCGGTCGAGCGTCAGTGCCTGCTCTTCCAAATCTAGCAACTTGGAAATCGGCCGCAGAACAGGAACATGGGTGCGGGGCAATCCACCCAACAAGACTTTGGTCAGCCGACGTCCGCTGTCACGTTCCTGGTCTAATAGACTCCCCTCCTCAGCAGCGGCGCCACCCTCACACGCGCTCCATGTTCTCCGGGTTACACCAGACTCCCCAGCTTCCAAGACGGGTATCGAAGTATGTCTGGTCTTCTTGAAAGGATGCCGCCCCACTACCTCTCCCTGATCCTTGCTCAAATGAATGCAGCCGTTATTCGATTTCGTTGTCGGATTTCAAGGCGATTCCCAGACTTCTCGGTCTCAGAATATCGACGCCTCATCCTTGGAGCGCATTGTCGAATCCCACGAGGGCCGCCCGCTTAATCTTCTTGTTTGGAACAGCAAAAGTCGGGAAACTCGAAGTTCGTCGTGAGAAGACGGAGGTCGCTTGCTTTGCTAACCCTGTCGTTGCCATGACCAGTCGTCCCGGTCGTACCCTCCCGGAGCTGGTCCGAAGGGGATGGGACCACGCAACCGTCACTGCTCGGTCTGAGTATGAGAATGTGTGAGGTACACATCTTGTTATGATTGGAGAATACCCACTTGACCGACCGTTATGCAGCCGGAATTGGCGATGGACAATGTCTGGCACGTTCTAGATGTGCAAGTGCTCCACGACGTACAGCTCGTTGGTCACTCATGTGCTATCTCACAGGCTAGAAGGCTCCCCAGCTGAGAGTGCTGGTCTGGTCCCGTATGGCGGTAAGCTCCAGCCACCTTCGATGATCTTGTGTTGCTTAGTCTCCAAGACTATATCACCGGCTGGTCTGGTGGAGTGCTGAGCTCCGAAAACGATTTCTATGAGCTCGTGGAAGCTGTTTGTATTTCCTCCCACGGTACTGACTGCACCATTGACACGGGTCGCAGCACGTGGAAAAACCGCTGCGTGTCTACGTATACTCGCATGTGAGTTTCTCGTGAACGCATCATATCTTGTATCTGAGCGATTCAAATAGGATTTTGAGTGCGGGTTCTCGGTCTTCATGATACGGCATTTTTTTTACATCCCACGCAGTGCGCTGCGGGAAGTCATATTGGTACCGAATCGCTCATGGGGCGGTGAAGGTCTACTTGGTTGCGTGTTCGGGTTCGTTAAGGTTGTCTCTTGTTACTGTGGTAACTGACCGCCCCAGCTATGGCCTATTGCATCGGATTCCACCGCAACCAATAGACCGTATCGGAGGCATTCTGACGCCACCTGAGTTGCAAGAGGCCGAGGACGACTACGAGGAACAGGATCTGTTTGTGCCTGCCGATGTCGCCCTGTACGAAGCGCCATTTCAAGCTCCCGCGCCGCTTCTGGCACCTGAGCATCTCAGCAGCCGGTCCACGCCAGTTGCGTCCGTCAGGGAAGAGAGTAGCGGTGACGAGGACGATGACGACGTTGCCACTACAATCGGGAGCACACCGCCCTTGCCGCATCGAGCAGTGTCGTTGGGTGCTTTCCGCGGTGGGTGACATTTGTTGCGCTGTCAGTACGTACCGTACCAACCCACGATGCAGCAAGCCCAACACCCGTCTTTCCGTCACATCTGTCCAGGACAGCGAATGCCGCGAGCGACGAAGAACCGAGTACACCGGACACGGATAATTCAAGTCTGACCAGTGTCGATTAGCACGGCATGTCATTCCAGCATAAGATAGTCCGTGGGGTTTACAACGGTTTACACTTGAGATTACAGATTATATCCAAAAAAAGCAAAGATCTATGACATCGTGACAATTCCTAGTGAAATGACCGAGCCGTGACGAGACAGCGAGAACAGCTTGGATCCCTCGGTGTCTGGGGGCGGCGTGGGCGGGCGGTCCACATCCTTGACTGAAATCTGTCGCGAGCCTCTTCTCGGCGGAGGGAGCAGCGAGGGAACTTCGTAAGGCACCATTTCATCGGCAGCCTGCAGGGGCGTCAAGGGCCGGAGCACAGGCGTCGAAGCCCTCGAGATCTGCAGGAAACTGGGGTCGTTCTGCGTGTGCCACTGAATGATTTTCTCGCCGATGGGCGTCCCTGGCACCGGAGGTGTGGCTGGCACGTGACTGGAGATAGCTTGCGGTTCGGGCGTGGTCGGAGTGGACGGAACGGAAGCAGAGAGCAAGCTAGCAAGCGCCATGTGGCGGGCCCAGTTCTGCCGCGGGGCATCCATGCTCGTCGGCCGGGGACTGACAATCACTGGCTCCGGCTGTGGTGCTGGTGGTGCGCTCAGAATTCGGAGCCTTTGTTTCAGCTTCGACGGATTCGCTCGGCCGCCGGGGGTCGGAGGCAGAGGTCCTCGGGGAGGGGGGCCGGCAGGGGAAGCGGGAATAGCATGCAGACTGCTCCCGGTGCTGTGATTGCTAGTCTTGAAGAAGCTGCTCGCCCTTGCGATGCCGTTGCCGGCGCCGCTGTTGCTGTGGGTGCGTCGGTGCTTCGGAGGCTCAGGAAGGGTCCCGGACGGTGGAGGCTTGGGTGCTGCGAGTGAAAGCCGCAGAGCACGATGGGTGACAGCCATCGATTCGCGGAAATCCGTTGAGGCTTGGGTGCTGCCGTGTGACAGTGACGTCGAACGAATGACGGCCCGTCCACCGCCATCCGGGGCCGGGGGGAGTGCTCCCGTTGGTGCTGGTCGGGGAGGAGGAGGCATCGACGTCCGCATGCCATGCCGCGTGGCAGTGACATTCACGCTGCTGCCGGTGCTCCGGGTGCTGCCGAGGCTACCGACGCTGATCACCGATGCGCGCTTGCCACGCCACGCTTTGAATGATCCGCCGCCCGTCGAGCCCGTTGGCGGGCCGCTCACGGAGCCAAAGGACCGCCCACTGGCCCGACTCGGCGCCCGTTCGCCACTGGATTCCCGCGGCGACGCAGAGGCATACGGATGTGACCGCGAGCCTGGCACCGGTGGCGGCGGGACGCTTGGAGGTGTCAGACGCCGCGGCAACAGCGAGGACCGCCGCCTGCTTGTCGGTGTCGAACCATTACCACTCACGCTGGATGCGCGTGACCTGTGGCCGTCGCTGACACCGTCTTCCTCGCGCAAGCTCGGCGTCTCCGTCCGTACACCAAAACTGCCTGCGGTTCCGCTACTTCCGCTGGCGTGAGGGTGTACATAGATGCTCGGATTCTCGTCGACTCGCAAGCTTTCTGGTTCAACACCTGTCCAACGCCGCAATATGTGTGTTCTTGGGGCTGGTTGCAGGCCGTTTTCAGAGAAGGACATCGTCGTCCGCCGCAGAGGCTCGCTCGGGACGAGGGGAGATCCTGAACGCAGCTCGACACTGACCCGCTCGACCGTGTCGCGCTCACTTTCACTCTCAACAATCTTCCGACCTAGTATACCCGCATTGGTCGTATGCGATCCGGCCAGCAGGCTCCCCATGCGGGCGAACGAACCCTCCTCGGTGTGCGCGTATCGCGACGACGTCCCACTCCCCATCGAGCTGACGGATGCAGCAGACGAACTGCGCGGTCGTGACCGTGACCCAGGAGTGAAGAGGCCCTTGAGTGCGGAAACCCCTGTTTTCGGTGACGACGGCACCTGTGACCGTGCCTGTGAATGTGACGACGACTGTTGCGAGTGTTGACCGGCCGGAGCTGTCGCGACTGAGCGCACGGAAGATGCCGAGGGCGCTAGCGATGCCGCATAGGTGCCAGTTGGGGAGGTCGGAGTCGGCGGAGGATGACCAAATGAGTGTTTGGGGGCATGATTTGAATTTGCCGCAATCCGCATAGAAAGCATCACATCCATATCGCCGCGGGGTTCAGATGCAGAATTGATATGGGCCAGCAGAGGAGGAAGACCGGCGCGTCGTGACCTGGGACATCTTAAATTGATTCCAGCCCGTGTGTAATGACACGCACCGTTGATCCAAGATCGCTGTCTTGATGGCGGATATCCAGTGCTGCGCGTCAGCCGAGGTGGGGAAATGGACGAGCCACACTGTGCGGCCGTCTTCCATGGTATTGAGGCTGCTAGAGCGCCGCACGCCGGCATCTGCACCAGCCACTTTAACGACGTGCGACAAGTCGAGTGAAGGCGAGCTGCCCGTCATCGGTGGCACGGCATCTGCCTGATTCAATACATGCACTTGGCTGTCCGCATTTATCTCCAACCGCTCGTACTCGCGTTCGTCGTGACTGTTGCCTTTGAAGAGATGCAGATGCGAAACAGAGCCGGAGGGCACGGAAAGGAGGATATAGCGGACTTTCCACTGCTTTGAGAGAGCGAAAATGCGGAGAGAACTAGGTGGATAGAACTTGGGCCATGTACCATCCAGCACAATGTAGGGTGCTAGGGCCTCGGGTGACGACGGGAAGCGCGGTAATGGCGGCAACTCCTCCACGGTAAGATGTGCCTGTTCCTGCTCTTCTGGAAGAGCTTCAGCCTGCTGTTGCTCGTTTTCCAGTAATGGTCCAAGTCCGAGAGATTGCGCCGCTGCATCCCGGAGTCTCTGCCGCTCCTCGAGCTCCTCGTCGCGCGCAGGGGCGCTGATGTCGATGACATGCGGAATCGAGAACTGGACGGGCGGAGGGGGTTGTCGGAGAGACGTCCGTCTCCGGGAGAATCGAAAGGACGAAAGGACGTCTGAGGCCTGCACGAGCAGGCTCGTCCGCCGCTGGCTCATGCAAGAGAAAGAGAATACGAAGACAAGCGCCAGAATCGTTTACGGCAGCACAAAATTAATTCGCAATCAGCCGCCGGCAATCACCACCAACTCCTGAAAAGTCAACTTCGTTCCTGTTGTACCTCCTCCTCTCTGCTGACCCTACGTACAACCCTCTCTCATGCTCGCATGGATATCAAGACTCCCGTCCCTTTTTCGCATAACTCTCGCTATCCGAGTTCTTGCCCACATACTCAGGGTTTAGTCTGCCCAACCTTCGTTCCCGGCATCCATCATGATCACTTCGGTGTCACTGACATAAGATATAGCATTCGAGGCTCTTATAAATACATGCAACACAGCAAGTCGAAAGCGAAGCACAATGTAATCAGACCTTATTCTTCCTCTTCCTGTTCCTCTTCTCCAATTCTGTGACCATGTCAGCGCCGTCTGGAAAGAGTAGTTCAAGAAACCAACCCACGTCGCATCTTGATACTGCTGATATTCTGCGACCAAATCATGCATGTTGGATTCTGCTTCCGTGAACTGATTGATAGAAAGCATCAGCACCAGCGAGTAAAGAGGTGTTCCGATGCTTACCTCCATCTCATCCATGCCTTCACTTGTGTACCAATGGAGAAAGGCTTTCCTCCGGAACATGACCTTGAATTGTTCCGCAATCCGCTTGAAGACATCTTGGATTGCGGTCGAATTGGCAATAAACGTCGCGGACATCTTTCTCCCTTTAGGCGCAATGTCACAGTGCGCGGATAGCACGTTGTTCGGAATCCATTCGATGAAATACGCGCTGTTCACATTCTGGACCTTCTGCACTTCATCCTCGATATCTTTCATCGCGATTTTGCCGCGGAAGAATGCAGCAACCGTCAAGAAGCGGCCCTGGCGAGGATCAGCGGCTGTCATCATGTTCTTGGCGTCAAACATCTGCGAGACCAGTTCATGCACCGTCACAGCACGATACTGGGCACTTCCGCTGGGCGTCAGCGGCGCGATTCCGGTCATGAAGAAGTGCAGACGGGGAAAGGGAACTGCAGACATGCAATCAGTTGACCAGTCCCTCGACCTCGATCAAATACATACCAAGGTTGACCGCAAGCTTCCGCAAGTCAGAGTTAAGCTGACCCGGAAAGCGGAGGCAGGTCGTAATCCCTGACATGACCGTCGAGACCAACCCGTTTAGGTCATCGTGCGTCGGCGATGAGAGCTTCAATGTGCGGAAGCAGATATCGTAGAGGGCCTCGTTGTCGATACAGAAGGTCTCATCTGCATTCTCTACCAGTTGGTGCACTGACAGAACAGCGTTGTATGGCTGCACTAGAATTGGTCTCAGCCTTCGGAGGCATAAACAATATCGCACCTCGACCACCGTATCCGACACCTTGGGGCTTGGAAGGACTGAAAACGTGCACATCATTCGATCGGGATATTCTTCTCGGATCTTGGATATAAGCAAAGTGCCCATGCCGGATCCCGTCCCTCCACCCAACGAATGAGCCATCTGGAACCCTTGGACCCTAAGTCAGCAACGTCTGCATGATTCCGTCGCCAACACACCCTGTAATGAGTCGCAGCCTTCCGCCTCACGTCGCAGCACATCCAGGACCTGGTCAACCAACTCCGCTCCCTCGGTGTAGTCTGAAGATCGTTTTGAGCATCCTGCTCAACCAAAGCAAAGAGAGCACATACGTCCTTTGGCCCAGTTGTTGCCAGCACCGCTGGCACCAAAAATGAAATTGTCTGGACGGAAGAGTGAACCAAACGGCCCGGACCGGACAGCATCCATCGTTCCAGGCTCTAGGTCCACCAGGACTGCGCGCGGAACATAGCGGTTGGCTCCCACCTCGTTGTAGTAGACCGAAATACGTTGTAACTGTAAATCTTGTGTCGCCACATCACTGAATCTGGGAAGAGAATGAGCACTGAGAACTAACCTGATTTTCACCTTTACCCTTGTGCGGCAAAATGCCCTGTCCTATCCAGTCCGTGTTCTTCTGAGACCGTTTCCCAGAAACGCGAACCTATGCACATCAGTCCCACAGTCCCCCCTCGTCTCGAAGACTTGGTGTACCAATTTGGTTCCCGCACTGGGTGAATCAGCTCAGCATAGCATCCACATCGACCCTCGCCAACCAGATCTCACCTGGCCCGTTTGGATGTGAACGATTTCGCGCATGAGAGCAGATGCAGAGAGATAGTCTGTTGTTGATTCTGTAAACTCACACGAGATGCACGCGGCAGACCCTCAAGAATGTCGCATTTTTTATGGTCTAGGATGACTCAGAGATCGGCCGAGTCTTGCTTTCCATGCGCTTCCGAGAGTTTGCCCGGCCCCGTGAGTAATGACTCCCTCAAGCCAGTAGCGGAAGTCACTCAGCAACGGCCGTTCGGTGTTCGGTGTTGGAGGTGATGCCCAGGCACAGAAGGACGGCGGGACTAGGCGGACGTGATATGATCTCCGTTATCTTATACGAGAATCTGGATTCTGAGAACGAGCATTGACTCGGATCTGCCGAGACAAGTCGTTCGAAAGCCGCCTGCAATGATGCGGTAAGCGACGCGCCTGGATGTCACGCGACTCGCGCGCTCCCGTGACCCAACCTGAACTCAGACGCTTGCCTCACAACCGAGAATATGTCATAGAATGTATAGGCACTTACTTGACGAGCTTCTCGTGGAGCTCTGCTCCTTTGAGCCTAGCTCGTAGATATTCTAATCGTGCCTCGTAGCGCGCAGCTACCTCCTCTCGCCGCCTGCGTAGATCCTCCATTTCTTGACCAAACTCCCTGTCGCCATTTAGATCAACCTCGAGGGTAGTCTCGTTCTCGTGTACAACAGTCATAGGATGCCCCATGCTCCTCAAGCTCGTGGAGCTGCCCAGGGGCAGGGACATTCCCAGGGGTGCCAAATTGCCACCGGCGGTGCCTATGCCCAGCCGGGAGGACGATCCGATACTGGACATGGAGCTCTTGTAGTTCAGAGAGCTTACGCGGGACGACGAGCTGGGCACGGGCTTCACCGACCGCGTTCCCCGACGAGACGACATAGCCGCTGACGCCGATGTCCCAGCCGACGTCGCAGACCGGATCGAACCAGCATCGCTGTCGGGAAAATCTGAGCCCTTCCTCGTATGTCGTCCGGAAAACAACACGTCGGGACTTGGCGGCACCAAAGTGGCGACCGAGTCTCGTGGATTGGTGAGTGCCGTCCTACGCCGTTGTGTGACGGTTGTGATCTCCAGACTGTTGAACGCATCCATCAGCCGCCGAACCTCGGCCTCAACAGCGAAAATCTGCTGACGAATCGACTCGGCCGAGCTTGTATCATCCGATGGCGTAACGGGCTCAGATCCTGATCCCGCAAAACGGCTCTCTACTCCAGGCAAGCGGGTCGGGAAAGAGGATGGAGGCGCAGGTAAACGTCGTGCAGATCGAATAGAAGGCGTGGGCATGACCGAATCAATGGGTGAACTGGCATTATTCGTGCGTCGCGAAGAGATAGACGCGGCATCACCTCTGTCCGTATTCAGAGACGATCCGCTGCGCTTTCGTCCTATTCGACTCAGAAGGGTCGAATGATCCGTGGGCATCCCCGAAGTCGTAGAAAAGAGGCTCGACGAGTCGCTGTAATCGTGTGAGGGTTGTCGGCCTGTTCTCCGAAATAGACTGGCCATGCCGGAGGTCCTGGACGAACGCGAATTTACGGACGGTGTTCGTGGTTTATCAACCACGAAATTAGATGGGGTGGTAGGTATTGAGAATCGTTTCGAGTCGGTGGAGACTGCTTTCCAAGGTCAGATTCTAACCACACTAGGAAGCCCACATTGAACGCACGTCGCTTGGCACTGGGAGCATCTGGGCGAACGGAACGTGGGGAGGTCGAGACGGGGACAACAGGTGCTTCTGTCGGTACCACGCTGGTGCTCGCGAAACGTTGAAAGAGGTCTTGTCGCAACAATCGGTATTCGTCATCGCTGTCAATTGAGTTGGAGAAACAGATTCGATGTAATGAAAGCCTTCAGACGCACTTGAGCAAGCCCTCTGAATTTGCTACAGCGAGTTCGTTGAGACGTTGGGCAAGGGTGGTGCTGAACACGACGACGGTAAGGACCGATTAGAGCAACCAGAAGGAGCACATACGTGACTGCGTCCGTCGGTTGGCGCGAGGGAGCTAGGGACGAGGAGGAAGATTTGGTGCCCAAGGCCCTTGAGCGCGAGGAGGATGGGCGTGGGTCGGGTTCGGGGGCAACAAACATTGTGCTTCTTTTACTCGTTGGTGCCGGAGAGGAGTCCGCTGACTTGGAAGGTCGCGTGGTATCCCGGACAGTATTGAGAGCCGGCGAACTCGAGGAAAGCTTGAGTTGTAGATGACGGTTGGCGATGGGCGTCGCAACGGGCGGAGAGAGTGTTTGAGCGACAGAGCCGGACTGGGAAAACGTAGGTGTCGGCCCGGCATCGTGGTCCTTGGTGTCCAGTTTCTTTGCGTACTAAATGTCCGTTCAGCTTGTGTAGCGTGAAAATCAATCACGTACACCCTGAAGTCTGGAACGAAACGACTTGAAGCCGGATTCGTTGCTTGGGCCAGGAATCGGAGGGCTATCCTCCTGGGTTGGCGAAGGCTTGAAGGATACATGCTCGTCGGGGTGTTTTTTCGAAAAGAAGAAGACCATCGTAGCATGCTGAGGAAGGATAGATACAAACGCCGGTTAATTTACTCGAAGCTATATCATTTCAGGTATTGTTGATGGGGTTTGACAGTCTCTCAAGACATGTCATCTGATCGAGTCAGCTCTCCCTCGCAACCTTAGAGCTTGAGACAAAGATTGCATGCAATGCAATGTACACGGCCAAAGAAACTGCTTTTTAACTCACCAGTAGGGATTTAGATGCATTCCAGCTCATAGTGTTAGCCGGGTGGCTGACCACGCTACTGCTTAGCGGCTTCCGTCGCTACAGGCTCTCTAGACCGAAACTAACTACACAGGCGGTATCGCTGCCTTTGGTCTCGGATCTTCACATGTTTACATACGAACTCTGATGCAGAATCACAGTCCAGACCAACTGAGAAACAGCGTTCAATGTTACAAGGAGCACGTGAGGCCCATCGCGGTCACGTGACTCATTGAATCAATTCACAACTGCGGCTCAGGTCTCGGTCTGACGCGTCACTCGCTGGAGACACTCAGTATTGGTATATCTGAGAGTACTATGATCCATAGTGGGTAGGTAGCGAGATTAGGCGTGAGATTTGTGCCTCATAGGTGATGAGGTCATGCATGATTTCACATTGGTACTCAAGAAGAAGCCGTCTAGGGCGTGCATTTTCTACGATCTTATATGCCTCGTGAAGGCCTGATCCAAACGATGGCTGCCTTGCCTCAGACGACACTTTGTATCTTTCGGCTGCTGATCAACCCTGTGCTCAAGCGGCCTCAGTAAGCTTTGGCAACAACCAGCCACATGACCTTGCTCAGGACAATCTTCTCCCGGCTTGCCTCATTGCATCTGCAACAGTGATTTTTTCATATATCGTGTAATGTGCCAGCATCCTGTCGGAGAACCCTTTCTTATCGTGTGGCCGGGGGGAGCCGCTTCTCTGGAGATATAAAAGCGCAGATGTCCGCACGATTAATGATCACAGTCAGATAACATGACGCCGAAATATGTCTGGAGTGCGCTCCACAGCTTCATCCTGACCGGTGTTTGGAAAATTGGACCAGGTAAGCCAATAAAAGTGCCACATGCCTACCCGATTGCTAACACGCACAAAGAGTCCATCGCAGAGAGTGTCATTCGGGAGGATTTCTCTCGACCTTGTGACGAGTCGGAGGACCACGGGTCTGTATCCGTCTCCGCTTACACGTCGTTCATTCAGAACTTTCTCGCCAAGGCAGGCTTCAGGCTTCCCGACAACCAAGACGATCCCGAATTCAAGATGGAAGTGATCTCAAGTTGCCTCGCGCTCGGATTGCCGCCGGAGAGAACAAAAGCACTCGCTGGAGTCGGGATCGACGCTGCAAAATGGTTCTACCCGGACCACAGCAGGAAGCTTCAGCTCCTGATCGCCAAATTTACGGGAATGACCACCATGATCGATGATTTAGGAATATTGTTCCCCGATGCCCTAGCAAACTACCGCACGCGATTGTTGAACGGCCAGCCCCAAGATACGCCAATCTTGCAGGCGCTTCTGGAGATCATCCGCGAGCTAGACTCGTACTTTGGCACGTTCGATGTCGACATGATCTTGAAGGTCACACTCGAGTTCCTCAGCGCGAACCTGATCGAGTTCAAAAGGCAGGCGGACCTGCGTCCTACAGTGAATTCTCCCGGTTACACGACCTACTTTCGCCTCAAGAGTGGAGTCGCCGAGGCATTTGCATGTTTCATCTTCCCCCTCGACCGCAGTGCCGCAAGTCCAACTGCACACAGCGTTGCGCACCTGCCCATGATTCCCGACTTGGTCACCTTCATGAACGAAGCGAATGACATCCTGTCCTTCTACAAGGAGTCGCTCGTTGGCACCGAGCGCGATAACGCCATCCATATGCACGCGAGGCTTCACGGGCTTTCGTTGTCTGGTGCGCTGGAGGTGTATGAGAAGTCGGTGCTGGGTTGCATGAGCCGTCTTCGCGGATTTTCCGTAGCCGAGGGAGTGGAGAGCCAGGTCGAGCAGTTTCTTCAGGGCTATTTCGCGTTTCATATGATGTGCCCGCGGTACAGGCTGAAGGAGTTGGATTTCTGGCAGAGCCAGATCGAGCGCCAGTAGTAATTCAAGTGTAGATAAGTACTTGGTAGAGCGTTGGGCCGTTTGGCCTCTGTGCGATCAAATCGTCACACGTGCTTCAGCGGGACAGCCTTTGAAATCACAACCGAGTACTTTCCGCCATACCTCTGGCACGCCCTCTTCCTCGCAGCCCACTTGCATGCCATTGTCCCGGAGAATATAATATTCTCTGGAGGGTGTCTGTATCACAGCCAGCGCAGGATGTAGAGCGCGCCGCCCAACAGTCAAGTGCACACTCTCAACATGATGGTGTCTATTATGGCAGTCAAAACACTGGTACAGCGCACTGCGAAGACTCACACTGGAAGGAAGAGATTGACTTTGGGATTACTCTGGGGTCGAGAGGCCACTGTCTCAATCAAACCAGCCGATTCTTGGGCCATCTGCATCGACGACATCCAGCGTCCGCTCACACTGAAAAAAAAGTCAATTAAGAGAGGGATCAGAGAACGAGACGCCACCTGTTTGCTACCACGCATGCTAGAATGTAGCGCTCTGCGATATCACGTTTGGCCGCGCCCACTTCGCCGTCTCCTTCGACACGCTTCAGCCAAAGCCGGCTGATACCGAGATTGTACTCCTCGTGATTAGTCCATGACACATGGTCGAGTAAGCTGCCGGACTCGACTGCACGACGTGAAATGTACGCTGACCAATCTGCGCGCACAGGGATTGTGGAGATCCCCGTCGTCGCCAAAGGCTCGCAAGTTGCTTCGAGAACGTGGAACGACTCGGTCGCTCCATCGGTATGACGGATGGTTATGGCCCAGATCTCGTTTTCGACAACAGGTTGGGCATTCACAATCTGGCCCTCTTTCCATCCTCTTCCGCCACCGATCGAAATATCAAAGAACAACCGAGTCAGGCTGAACCTGTAATTTCATGAGAAACGGCGAGGCCCCCTGTTTCGGGAACCCGTACCTGAGAGCGACGACGATCTGACGTTCGTGATCTGGCGACGTCCACAGATGTTCGGAAACAGCATCGATGTACAGTCGACCGAGAAAAGAGTTGCGAAAATATTGCTTTCTAGTTGTCATTTCTTGCTCTCGGTAGCTCAGATAAGGCCACATGTTTGACATCAACGGAGAACAAGACGAGACCACATGCGAGAGTCTTTGTCCGGGAAAGTCTCGACACAACCGATGATAGGCCGAGAGATAAACTGCAGAAGCATAAGCGCAAACCTTGTGACTGAGGCAATGACTGACCTGCATATCGAAACATTCGCGATACCAAGGTACAGTTCTGCAGATCTTCGCGGGGGACGAAACTAATTAGGATTGCATATTGCGAAACACGCTTTCGTTGGGAAAGAGAAGGGGGTAGCGATATCGGAATGAGTTGAGGAGGTCTGCCAGACACAGGGAAATTCAAGTAAAACGTCGTCTCGGGCTTTACAGGAGCCGCAGTGGGAATACTGAGATGCGTTTGTACAATATTTGCGATTTTCTTGACGTTCACGACAAGGGGTAGAAATCGCTTTGTCGGAAGCGATGGACCAGCATTAGTCGCATATGCTAACGACGTTGTTTGAACTGGGATGATGGAAACAGGTGGGAGATTATGCGATCTCGATGGCACACTGCTCGTCATCGGCTGTTGCGGGGGAAATGTGTCGGACGGTACATGCCTAGGAATTCTCGACCCTCCTGATATGACTGGGGTAGTTGTGGTTCCCTCTTTTCCTGATAGACTGGGATAAGATGTCTTGAGTTTCTTGTCAGATGCTTCCGCTGTCACGAGCTGTTTTCTCTTCTTGCCTGCTGGCTGGGGATCCTGGGTTCTAAGGGATGAAACCAGTTTTTGCGTTTCCGAGAATTTACAGATCGATGAATAACTTGAGGCTTCTCGGCTCGATGCCGCGTCTTGAATGGAAGGATGAATGACGAGGGTGAGAAGCCCAAGGGAGTGATTTGATTCGAACGCGTTCAGTTCCGTGGAATTAGCAAGCAGAGGGGATTGAGAATCAGACTGTTTTAGGACCGAAGAGATTTCTGTAAGAGAGGAGAGTGAAGAGGTAGCCGCGACTTCAGATTGGTCGCTCTGTGTCAGTTTCTGGATGATGGCATCTTTTGAGAGCTTGGAGTAGCCGTTAATATGCTTTTCCTTGCATAGAGCCTTCAGCTGAGGCACCGTCAGCTTCTTGAGCTCAGCTACGCTGTGCATTACGGTTGGCACTGGAAGCAGGTGTCGACGCGTTGTATGTGCATGTGTGGAGTCATTGACTGTTCATTATCGTACATGCCGTATTGTAATCATATCTAATCTTGGCGTCACCACATTCCTATAGTCGGGCCGTCTCCGACAAAGCTGTTCCATTGATCAAAGTCCCTGGCAAGTGTGAGCTTGTGAGTGAGAGTCACGGAAGGCTGAGCACATACATCAAGTCTGAGCTCAACCACATAGCCATAAAATTATCGTCCAACGTCGCTTCATTCATTCTAATCTCATCCATGAGGATCCCATCTTCCAGCTGCTGCAGAGTGAGAACAACAGGCGGTGCCGATCTGTGGGATTCCCGCCGGATTGTCTCAGAGCTATGAACGGGTTCCATTTCCCCATTCCCAGCTGCTGACGATCTGCGACTGCCCGGTTTTAGTGTCTCCAATATTTCCCACAATCTTCCTGCAGATTGCCATCTTGCGATTTGTCTCAGTGAAAACGAAAATCAACGGACGATGTGTTGCACCTTGATTCGGCCGACTTCAAGATGGCCTGGGCCGTCTCAACAAGCTCGAAGTCCTTGGCTATTGGACTTCCCGAGCGTTTCATGGCACCGAATATATTCTTGCATAATACCAAAGCCGCAACGATCAGTGGATTCTGTACGTTCAGGTTTTTGGTGGCATCTAGTCGGCAAGACCATGCTTACCAAGAGATGATGAGGCAATATGAGCTGGCGTCGTGGCACCCAGATAGCAATCGCTTGGATAATGCAACGAGCTGCACCAACGCAGATAGCCAGAGAGGGGCTTGCCAGCGAGTTGTCTTTTTGAATGAATGGTCTATGGATCTGCATGAAGTTTCAGAAAGTGTGATTCTTCGAGCCGGTGCATTGCAGACCATTATCTGAACAAAGTTGTACGCTGTATAGAGCACCGAGCATTGGTCAAAGGCGGTTGCCTCGCCAACATATTGGTCACCTCTCCAACGGACTGGCAAAAGAGCTCAGAGGCAAGCAAGAAAAGACCACGAGATGGCTTACGGTGACTGGGAAGTCCATCAAGCCATTGATTCATTCGTGAATCCAGCGAAACAGCGACCTCTTCATCCCATTTGGCACTTTTCCATCCCATCATCAACTTGCATTTGCGAGATGCATATAAGCGCCGTAAGGCATCGCCCAGAATCTGAGCGGATGGTCAGTCAGCAGTACATTTTCGCAGCAGGACTGACTCACCTCGCAAAGCTGAATATAATGGATGAAGAAAGTGATTGAAGCCGGCGCGTTAGGTGGCTGGACAAAATCATGCTGCCAATATTCATCATCGACCTCCAATGGTAAATCCGCGTCGTATCTGTTCCAGCTTCAGTTGTGGCTGGAAAATGACACGAAAGCGCACTCTTCAGGATGGAGACCCAGAGGCCTACCAATGAAAGCGCCAATTGTTCGGTCAAGGCACAGCACCGCCCTCGAAAACCATGTTCAGCGCGAAGGCATCCATCAAATAGAGTGACACACCAGAACGTTCGGTTGCAGATTTCAGTTTCCTCGGTCGGCTTCTCGGAACGTTTGCGACGGTGTTCTCCAAGATGTTGTAGGTATCTTATGGACATGCCCTGCGAATATCAGCCTATCACTGCAAGGTCAAGGAGAATCGCACTAGATAAAGCCAACATGTCTGTGGGGTCGAAGTTCCAAGCGCGTAAACACACATAAGCTGTCGGCATCAGTGAATATGAGCATAGGCCATCGACTTCAGAACGCTTACAGCGAAGAACTGAGCATCGAAAATGCTCGGATCCCACATTCGTTGTCCTATTCTGACCTGCGAAACGAATTTCCAACCAGCAGAGTGTCCGGATCCTTCAGGCAGTAAAACGCGGGGGTCGTCCAAATGCTGTAAACATCAGCAAGGTCCGAGAGATGATTGACGCGATTCGTTACCCGTGATGCAACACCCAGAAGCGCCAATAGAAGACTGCCAAATTGTGGATTCGCGAAATGCATTCCCTCAGCGACGCAAAGCTCGAAGGATGGGCGATGTATCAGTGGGAAGGTTGGATGGACAGCCTTGCGGATGAATGAGGCGACCGTCCATCTAGATGGCGCAGACACCTACTTCAAAGTATCGCTGAATAAGAGAATACAATAGATCTTTCTCTGGAAAAATGTATTGGGGTTTTTCGGAGTAGAGAACTTGCTCCCACTGAAAGGTATATAAGCAAGCGCGGGCCACAGTGATCAGCATCATACCGGGTAAGGTTCCCAGAATTCGGACCGGCGCACCTTTTGTTGTATCGGCTGCCCCGTAATTTTCTCTTTGGCCTGCCTATGTTATCGGAGAAATGAATGATTGTAGAGGAGAAGTTCTGACCGCCATCGCTGAGTTGGCGAGAGCTAGAGGACGACTCAGATCCATGGCAGAATTCTCTCGTCATCATTCGCACCAAATGTGGAGGCAGAGCCATAGAATTTGTTCTTCAAGGCTGCCGAAATGGAGAACTGAGACATGCGTTCCACCAGTTCTGCTCCCGTGAAGTCTTTTTCGACATGTGGCTCTTTGCTGGAATCCGAATCGGATTCGACTTGATGTAGTGTATAACTTATCGGGGAAGCTAATGATTCCGGAGTGTGGATACTGCCCAAGGCTCGAGAACAGAGCGAGCAGACCGAAAGAGAGCGCAAGCGGGCTTCGAGGGACGCAACCTCTTTCCTGAGTTCTTCCACTAGCCTGCGCAACATAGAACAATGGATTCAAATTCGATCGGCCGCAGTATATGCACGCACTTGTCCTTGGGACCTCTCTTCATGGAAGGTTGCAGGTACGTGCAATCGAAACCGAACGTTATACAATGGGAGCATTTCCCATCTGATGCTTGGGAGCCATCGCCTTAGAAAAGATGCTCAGAGGAGAACCTGTTCTGCGAGTATAATCTTGACGAACAGCGGACTAGTAAGTATCAGCTTGAGGCTGAAGCAATCGAGGATCGTGGCTGCGCCTCTAACTCTTTCTGGTTCTGCAGACATCACAGCTGCGTCCGAGCCTTCTTTGCTTTAAACCAGGCACAGAGGTAGCAGGGAGCATCAAGAATGGGTAGAGTGTTGCACAGAATAACTGTTGGAGTCGAGAGAGAACGTGAAGCTGCCAAAAGTGCTTACTCATCAAAGTAGACATGACATCACGTAGGGCGGACCGGACAAGTCTCGGCATTTGTCGATAAAGCGTCAATGCGCTACATCCAGAAGGTACTACCAGAGACTACCAAGTAAGTTCCACCACCCCATCGGCGATCGAACTACGCCACGAGTCTTCCACACCACGGCTCACAGCGAACGCGTTGTCACTAGCGGCTAGGAAACGGTCCGTGTACGTTCTTTCTTCGCCAGAACCAGAGCCAGATTGCTCTGGAGAGGCAAAGAAACTGACGGCTGCTGGCTCATTTGACGAAATAAGGGTCGGTGCGGTATGTGTCCTCCGTCGATGGAAGAACTATCAACATGTTTGAGAATAAGAATAAGAAAGCATGTTTGGACTGACCTGGACTATCGATCCCAACGGTGGCGCAACTGGACTCTTGAGAGATATTGTGCCTCGTTTTGGATCTCCAGATTCGATGGAGTACATCTGATAAATCTATCCTTTCTCAGAGCGTTCTTGGGGCCGAAGAAGATATTCTCACTTCACCGTCACGGAGGACAGAAATCGCAAACTCCTCCTCAGCTTTGAGATTCAGCGAGTCTACAGGACCCAAGTCAATTCCAGCACTTTTTATGGCGGACAGTAATATTTGAGTGGGATTCGCGCCATCGAGAGTCACGACCAGATTGCCTTCCACACTTGAATCCGATTGAGAGGAGGCACATAGGAACGAGCACACTTACTGGGTCACTACCATTGGCGTGTGGAGAGGGGACATTCCAGGAAAACGGGTTCGGACTGTCGACGGTGCAGTTTTGAGGGCGACGCCTACAGCGCCGGAATCGAATATAGCGTCATTTCTGAACAGAGTGACGGGCCGACCCGTGATAAAAGGTGTGGACAGTGCAAAGAGACCTAGCTACGGACGGTGAATCGAGCGTTCTCTATGGATGTGCGATACTAACCTTAGAAGAGCCAGAGAAATGTGAAAGGGCATTCGTTAGCCCTTCAGGTGCATTGTCAGTGAGATAAAGTATTGTTCCGAATTCATCTGGGCTTGAAGATTGAACACAAACGAGAGAGCTCATACAAAAAGCCTTACTCACCTGGCTGCTTGAAGCTCAGCGGGTAACGGATTTTTCGTCAAACTCTGGCTCCATACATCTTGCCAGTCGAAGTTTCCCGTGGGCATAGATCCGATAACTCCCTCATCATGCGTTTGCCGTCGAAATGAATGCCAGCGTCCGACCTGCGGCGGAGACTGTCCTGGTATTTCCGAACGAAACGGGACACATGTTTTGCGGTCGAAGAAGGCCAGAGAGCACGCGACCAGGTCTGATTGACCAGGCAGGGGGGCCGACAAGCATCCGACCGATTGAGTGGTCGCGGTGGTCAATCTTTGAACCAATGTTTGGAGATCTGAGGGAGCAAGATTGGGGGACAATGTAAAAAGGAGCACATGCTCGCGGTAGCGTGAGGACAGGCGTGTGATTTTGTCCAGTAGACGCGTCGGAGATTGCGAGAGTATAGTGTGCGCATTCATATGTGCCGGCACTGCTGTTGTTACTCACTGGAACCAGGCAGTGATGACGTCCGAGACGCGAATAGTCACGTGTGACAGGTGACGGATTGACACCAAGCACTATTGACCCCCACCACTCGCGCACTTTGACAGATCCGTGATGCGCGGTGATGTTGCGTGAGTAAATCCTATTCACCCAATGATGTTCCATGGCAGTGATGAAATAATCTAATTAATGCATGGGACTCTCAGCGTGGAATGTCTGACGCGTTAAGTCATGCCATGTGATTCTATTTATTCGATTTTTGCCTCTCTTCTCTTGTATTGCTTCATGGAAAAAATATTATAAATAATAAAACCAACAGTCACTGGATAATGCTCAATAACATGCATATGAAGGTGATAAGGGCGTGACCAAATCCATAACGTTTTCTCTACAGGGGAAGCTTCCTTGTTCTAGTGGTCAACGCTGTGACCGTCCGACATTAACACTGTGTGGAATGGATTGTGCTCTGTCGTTCGATCCTGTAGCTGGATTTCTTTTACTTGTCGTGCCATTTTGTACCGTTATGTGGTCCGGAGCTGAAAACGAAACAGTGCTGCTTCTCTATTTTTTAGTATCTATATTTCTCTGATGTATGGGTCTCTCACATTGTGATGTGTTCACTCACAATTAAAATACAAAATGGAGATCCTCCAGGACCCTGAATTCCACCAATGCACATAGCCTCAAATCAAGAGCAATCTGGAGATTCTCAACTTTTAAAGACACTAGAACAGCCAAAAAAAAATTATAAGCAGTTAAAACCTATGTAGGTATCTACAGCTTGGCACAAGCTTGGGTGAATAGGATTTACTCACGCAACATCACCGCGCATCACGGATCTGTCAAAGTGCGCGAGTGGTGGGGGTCAATAGTGCTTTCTCGGATTGACACGGGACGACCGCCAGCGACCGCCGTATCAAGTGCATCACTCCGAGTCTCGGTCTCTGACGAGTTCAATTTCACCACCATGGGGGTCAACGCGACAACAGAGGAATACCCCTCTCTACTTTGGATAGCGTAATTTCATCGCCACAAGTCCCTCTACGTTTACCCAACCTCCTCGGCAGGATTCCCTCAGTGCTTCTGCTATCGGGATTTTTGGCTAGGAAATGGTATCTACAACGCCGTCTGAAGGTACACGGCATCGGGAAAGGGGGTGCGCATGTAATCGCGCGTGCATGCGGGAAGCTGACACCGAAGCTCCAGCGCCTGGGTTCCAAACTAACGTTCGTCGAGTACGCGTCACACCCGAAATCATGGCGCGCATACAGCGAGGAGAGGATGTTAGTCCAGAAGAGATTGCTGCAGCATCAGCTCGAATGGACGCTGAGGAGCGTGGAGAGACAGTTGCTCCGTTACCCGCTAAATCTGAAACGAGCCGTCCCTCGAAAACCAAGTCTTCTACGGCTGCCATTGCCAAAGACTCAGAAACAGACTCCGCTAATGAGTGGCTTCCAGAGAGCATTACAGCTCCGAAGAAGCGCACGAAAGGGAAGAGAAAGTAGGCTATCAGTATCCAGACTGCAGCGGTTGTATCAAGATTTATGGTGCTTCGTTTCTCCAACAAGCCAGACTGCTGAACGAACATCGAGATTCCAATACAGCCATACTATGCACTGAAGTCCGCAAACTCTTGCACCTTTATTGCCACACGAGGTGCAAATCGAAAAGCGCGTAAACGGTTGGTGCCGAATGTTCGGACGATGCGTGCAAGACCTTCCCTCAAAGCTGTTTTGAATGAGCGCTGGGAAACTCTGATTGCCATTGGCCTTGCTCACCGTCGTCGAGATCTCCGAAAGCGGCTGCTGCCTCTTCCAAATCTGCCGGATCTGCCATCTCTTGGTGTGCTCGCATAGCAGCCTTCACTGCGTCAATTTCCCCCAGGAAAAGAACGAAGGCTTCCAAAATCTTCGGAATGTCCCGCTGGACAGTTCCAAATCGATCTTCAGTGAGAGACGCGCAAGTTAGGTCTGTGAGTACTGAAAGAATGGTCAGCTTATTCCGGTAGGCGCAAACTTGGTCGACCAACATATAATTGCCTCTGCAACAACTTCCGAGCGAGGGACCCATCCCCGCACTTCCTTGCCTTTTCGGGACACTTTCCATGCGTCGGGCAGCGCACCCACGAATCCATTCCCCGTAATTCTTCGCACGCTTTCAACGCCGCTTTGTGCCCACGCTGGGACAGCAGTGTACTGACCCCACTCAGGTAGCCTGATATCTGGCACGGGCAAGATATCGATAACTGGTGCAACCAAGCCCTCGATCACAGCCTCACTTGCAAGTGCATCACCGAGTCGCGCACCTGGTGATGTCGGCGCGTTCTTGGCAAATATGTTCTGCTTGAGCAAGGGCATGGTTTTGACGGGCGATTCGAAGTTGGGAGCACCTGGAGTGATGGCTTTTGGGGGAGGTGCGGCAACCGACGGATTGGGTGACGATGGGACAGCCGGAGTGGTACCTCTGTCAACTAGCACGCGATACTCGCGTCCTACACAGAGCAGGGCCTCCCGGACCAGGCGTGACCACATCATTCCATCCACATCGAATATATCCGCTCGAGCTTTCTTCCCATCGTCTTGATCCGGCGAGGACAGTGCTAATAGTTCCGAATACGCAAGATGGGTGTATATTGTCGGCTCTCTCGGGAATAGTGGTGGACCGGAAGATGTTGGCACGGGGGATGAGGCGAATGCCGACAGGCGCGCAGCGGTGGAGAACGCAGACGACGTCGCTGAAGAAAGAGACGGTGCGGAGGAAGATGCGATGGACAGGCCAGACACTAATGCTCGAATATCTGACGTCGTTCGTATCGGCTGCTCGTGATGGGTCGATGGGAATCGATTAAGGTTCGTAAATGACTTACTTCACGAATAACCCAACCCCAGATGGCAATTGTGCCTTCCCAGAGCGCTGCAGTCTGGATGCCCAGAAACCAGGCACGCCCCGTGTATCGAAGAATGCTCGCATGGGGGTGCCTCACAAGACGCAAAGGCAAAGACACTAAACGGATAAGAAAGTAATCCCGAAGGGTTGCATAAATAGGCACACCGAGAGGAAGATAGCGAAGGATGGGTATCAGAACAAACAGAACGACCAAAGCTAATGGCAATGCGGCAAAAGAAAGCACCAGAGGAGCGATTACGATGCCGAGAGAGTGCTCTGTGCTGGATCGCTGCAATGGCGTGAGCAAATCGTCTAGAAAGTGGATACCGACCATACTCTGAAAGGGAATACCCAGACATCTCGAAGAAGGGATCGGAGCACGTATAGCACTGCTAGTGCACTCTGGGTGAGGACGAGCAGAACTAAGACTGGATGAGGTGTGTATGGATGCTTGCTACTACTCGTTAGTTGCCACGTTTTGTAAAGAGTATCCCCGTACCGCGACTTGACAAACATCGGCATTTTGGGATCGAAGATGACGTGCGCTGCGAGGATAGCAAATGCGGACAACATGTGCGTTCGCAAAGCATCAAACGTCCTAGGCCTCAAAGGCACAGAGAAAGATTTTTGGAGTAGCGCAAGGGGAGAGGGCGCGCCGGTGTGTGAGACTGCACATTATCGGTATTCAATTTACAGCAAAGAGAGTGAAACACGGACCAGTTAGATAGGTTTTCCTCAAGAGTACGATGGGGACAAGCGCCAGTGTCCACACCAAGAGCGACGCGCCTAAGAGTGGCCCAAATCCAAAGAGTCCATACCACCCGAGCCAAATGAGATTCGAGAGGATAGACACGACTAACGCGTAGGGCAAGATCTGGGTCGACAAACGTCGGCGAAGAACTTCTTTGGCCAGAGGTTCATATAGTTGAGAGGCGGCGGGAATGGGCGATGGTGCGGTGCTTCGAAGTGGATTTGTGATAGCACGGATAGTTCCTGTCGCGCCGATGCCAGCAGAGGCAGAGGTTGAGGTGGCCATCGACAGTTGCGACGCGTTGGCGCAATGGGGAGTGAGTTTTGTATGGCAGTGCCAAATACGATCACGTGGCTTTCTGGTTTTGCGTCCCGACTGTCGCTTGTCTTCCGTGACTTCGAAGGTGCGTAATCCCATTTGACAGAACATATATTATCGACCAATATCTAATGAATGTACTGGAGGTCTCCAATCGCTGCTAAACTGTCTGTGCAACAGACTGGTCATGGTTATGAGGCGGGTAACTTGGCAAGGGTTGTGGGCTCTACCGAACAACCACCAATGTGGCCTGAAGATGGCGCGCATGGCCGCTCTTTCTGCAGGAGACGAGAGCCAGAATTGATAATAGTACCATTCGCTCCCGCACGCCCCTAGGCCTTGACTCTTGTCGTACCCAGGAAAGTCTTGGTCTCCCTGCCAAACACCGACGATTCGCTCTGGGAAAAGGAAGAACAAAGCATTGATCAACGTCTGGTCTTTTCCCACAAACAATCCCAGCGACAGATAGTGGTCGTGATACGCGTAGTACGTTCGTTTCCACCACGATATGGCCTGCGCAGAACCTCCAAAGAAGGATCCTGGTTTCCCCATCAGCGAAGGCACGTATTTCAAGTACGAAGAGAATCACCTTCGCTGACCTCGTTGTCCACAGGTCCCTGATCTTCCGTCCATGACCGCATGTCCGGATGCGGCGCCCCCGTGAGCGGGAAAAAGAGTACATCTTCTGCTGCCTCTTGTGTCAGACTTGCGCTCTCCGCCCAGATCTCTTCCACTCTGCGGGGATCTGGCCAGGAAGAGAATCGGTGGTTTGACCGGAAACTGCCCGCGTCGTTCCAAAATCCATGCGAATATTGCTTGCCTGACTGGCGCAGAGCTGTGTCCAAGAAAAACGGCTTGGCATTCCATACGGCATACAGCTCGGGTGAATGTCGAAAAGCCTCTCGATCCAGGGCGTGCATTTCTCGATACCGATCCCGCAGGCCCGCTAATGGTGGGACATCGAAGGGGGAGGCGTACGTGGTGTCTATGACAATCGACAAGTTGCCCCGACACTTGCGGATGAACGGCTCCATCTCAGGGGCCGCATAGAAGTAGACGTCGGTCGACACCCGCGACAAAAACTGGGTCAACCAGGCTTCGTATTCGCGCATGGTATGCTTGGATTTGGATAAGGGGAAGAACGCAGAGACGAGGAGGATATTGGGCAGGCTCGCACTGCTGGCATTCGATGCATTCTCGCCGTCCAGTATCGCGACTTCGGAGACCAACGATGGGACGCCCGTCGGCCACGATGAGAGACAAACGAGGAGTATGACGGAGAGGCCAAGCAAGAGGAAGAGTCTCCCAGTCGTAACAGGGAGTTGGGTGGGACGAGCGACCATTGGTTTCGGGGCGTTTTCTGATTGACATTCAGCTTGAACGTTGCCTGGATTCGATGGGGAAAGCCTTACCCGTTTAATTCTTCTGGCTTGTGGATGGCATGCAATAAACACTCTGGAAAGGCGAGGCGGCACATTTCAATGGGGCTGCCGTGCTGCGCACACAGCCTCTCAATTGGCTGAAACTGAACATGCGATCCTCGGATGGGAGAGGGGGAGAGCCGTCATTTACTCAGCTAGTTCACATCATATGGAATTACATCATTCGTTTGGACGCGCAGTGCGACCGCATGAGCATGTGATCGTGTTTTTTATCCTCAGGTTGCAGCGAGGCCAGAAGTCGAGGATGTGATTCTCGATGCCGGAGGCCATATACTCGAAAATCGTGAATTTCGGGCGATTAAGGTAACTGATTAATATTCACCAAGTATATGAAGTTACGTAGTACACTCATGCATCTATCGTATGCATCGGCGGGTTCCAGCTGCGGAACTGTCTTTGTAGAAGAGCCGGTACGGCCGCGACATCGGCGAGGTGACATGCTTCCCGGTTCCGGTTGAATGTCCACCAGTGTGGCTTGAAAACGGCACGCATGGCCGCTCTCTCCGGGGTCGACGAGAGCCAGAACTGGTAGTAGTACCACTCATCTCCACATGCCCCCAGACCTCGTCCCTCCTTGTAGCCAGCAGCGTTGGGATCGCCAGCCCAGACACCCACGACTCGTTCGGGGAATAACAAGAGGAGAGCATTCGCCAGGGTCTGATCGCTCCCGACAAACATCCCGAGCGACAGATAATGGTCGTGGTAGGCATAATATGTCCGTTTCCACCACGCGATGGTCTTTGCAGAGCCTCCAAAGAAGGATCCTGAGCGAGTGTCACTTGAAATTGTCATGACACCAAGGAGCCAGCACACCTTCACTGAATGTGCTGTCCACAGGCCCGTGATCCTGCATCCAAAATCGCATGCTCGAGTGTGGAACTCCGGCAAGCGGAAAGAAGAGCAGGTCTTCCGGCCGCTGGTTTGTCAATTGTGCGCCTTGCGTCCAGATCTCATTGACCCGTTTGGGATCTGGCCAGGAAGAGTAACGGTGATTGGAACGGAAACTGTCCGCGTCGGTCCAGAATGCATAGTCATATTGCTTGCCCGTCGCAGCCATTTTCTGCATAGCCGCATCCAATAAGAACGGTTTCGCGTTGCGCCGGGCATACAGGTCTGCTGAGTGGCGGGAGCCTCCCCGCTCCAGAGCGCGCATCTCTTTATAACGATCCTGTAGACCTGCAAGTGGCGGGGTATCAAATGGGGATGTGTAGCTTGTGTCGATAGTGATCGTCAGGTTTCTTCGGCACTTGCGGATGAGAGGCTCCATCTCAGGCCCCGCGTAGAAGTACACATCAGTGGAAACTCGAGAGAGGAACGCCGTCAGTTGAATTTCGTATTCGCGCATGGTATGTTTGGAATTGGAGGCCGGAAAGAAAGCAGAGACGAGAAGGATGTTGGGTAGAGTTGTCAGGGTAGCGTCCTTTGGCGCATGGTCGACAAACTCGAGGTCGGAAGAGCCGACACGACTCCGGAAGTTGAAGAAGTACAGAAGAAATGTGATAGATGGGACAAGCAAGATGAAGAAACGAGTGCGCCAGGTAGTCGCCGAAAGGTGGGTCCGAAGCACGACCATCTTGTAAGATTAGCCCCGTCACAAAACTCATGCAAGAACGTACCGGCGAATGAATCTCGAGTTGGCGGAAGTCTTGCACTGACAAGCTAATAGGCTTCTCAACGACACGCGGGTTGGTCCTGCAACTACTGTGCGGCTAAGAGATGATGACAGGCAGAAGCTGTGCAATGAATGTCCAAGGATAAGATTAGATGTGATATTTAAGGGCATCCAACTGGATCAAAGTTCGTGAGGCAGAGCTAGGAGATGTGGTACATACGCACGTGCTTATTGGGAGTTCTTGACCTTCAGTCGTGTGTAGGAGCTGCTTTACTGAACCTCAATGATAGAACTTGCGAAGAAAAGGTAGTCAGTGGGTAGCCTTGCGAATGCACGTGGCACCACAGAGAAGCAGAACCAGACGTGATCTCTTGCAGAAGGATATTCATCTCTCGAGCTTCGGGCTCGGGCGGATCATTGGGCGCTGAGCGCTGAGTACTGAGCCTCCGGGCTCTTGAATGCACATGCTGTGCCCCGGATTTGCTAACCAGGAGGAAGATCACAGCCGGCTTCATCGGGCTCGCACAAACCGGGTAGGGTCGGCGGTCACACATCAACACGGGTCATCACGCTGACCCCATTTGCGCTGGCTCGCACCCTTTTCTGCATCTAGCGTTCGTTCCACCACGACCATGTTTACCAGGCCGGCCCTCAGCCGACTGCCTGCTAAAGCCGCCAGGCAGACTGCGCAGCTGCGGCGCGCTTGCGCTCCTGCCCAGATACGCTCTTTGGCGACCGCTGCTCCACCGTCATCGAACGACCCGTTTGCGAATGGGACGAATACGTACTATGCAGAGGAAATGTACAGGCATTGGAGGCAGGACCCCAAGTCCGTGCACGTTTCGTGGGATGCCTATTTCTCGGGCCTCGAAAAAGGACTGGGTCCCAATGCTTTTACCCCACCACCTCGTCATCTTCCGGTCCCCTCCGACGGAGCTCCGGCGTTGTACGGTGGTAGCGGTGAATTGGACGACCATTTAAAGGTCTCGCGCGTTTTCCTCTCGTTCGATCTTTGCTCACCTATGCTCAATTCAGGCTCAATTGCTTGTGCGCGCGTACCAAGTGCGCGGTCATCACGTTGCAGAGTTGGACCCGCTCGGCCTTTTGGACGCTGACCTCGACGACGGAAAGCCTCCAGAGCTCGAGCTTAGCCATTACGGGTTTACAGAACGCGATCTTGACAAGCAGATCACATTAGGGCCCGGAATTCTCCCCCACTTTGCCAGCGAGGATCGAAAGTCAATGTCCCTGTCCGAAATCATCAAATTGTGCAAACGGATATACTGTGAGCATGTTGCTTGTCATTGGATGCCGGTGTTCAAAGCAGGTTCAAGGTGGTGCCGTCGGCATTCAATATGTGCACATTCCGGACAAGGAACAATGTGACTGGATCCGAGAACGTATCGAGATTCCAAAACCCTGGAACTACACTGTGGAGGAAAAGCGCATGATTCTGGACCGATTGATTTGGTCCGAATCTTTCGAGAAGTTCATGGCTAGCAAATACCCGAATGAGAAGCGTTTCGGACTGGAGGGCTGTGAATCGTTGATTCCAGGAATGAAGGCTCTTATCGACCGCTCTGTTGACCACGGCGTGAAGCATGTCACCATCGGCATGCCCCATCGTGGGCGTTTGAATGTTTTGGCCAACGTTATCCGGAAACCCGTCGAGGCCATCCTGAACGAATTTTCGGGTACAGCGGACGATGATTCACCAGCGGGAGATGTCAAATACCACTTGGGTGCCAACTACGTTCGACCCACTCCATCCGGAAAGAAGGTTTCGCTATCTCTCGTTGCCAACCCGTCGCATTTGGAGGCCGAGGATCCCGTCGTTCTTGGCAAAACGCGTGCCATCCAGCACTTCGAGCAGGACGAAGCGTCCCACACCACGGCCCTCGGTATCTTGCTGCACGGTGATGCTGCGTTCGCCGGACAGGGCATTGTCTACGAGACCATGGGATTCCACAACTTGGCCAACTACGGCACTGGCGGAACGATCCACTTGATTGTCAACAACCAGATCGGCTTCACCACTGACCCTCGTTTCTCACGCTCCACCCCGTACCCGTCTGACATTGCCAAGTCCATCGACGCGCCCATCTTCCACGTGAACGGTGACAACGTCGAGGCCGTCAACTTTGTCTGCCAGCTCGCTGCGGACTATCGCGCCAAGTTCAAGAAGGATGTTGTGATCGACATCGTTTGCTACCGCCGTTATGGACACAACGAGACGGATCAGCCCAGCTTCACGCAGCCCAGAATGTACAAGCAGATCGAGAAGCAGCCGACTCCTCTCACGCAGTACTCTCAGTTCCTCATTGGCCGCGGCACGTTCACCGAGAAGGACATCGAGGACCACAAGTCCTGGGTGTGGAGCACTCTGGAGACGGCGGCTGCCGCGGCCAAGGACTACGTTCCCACTGCCCGTGAATGGCTTTCTGCATCTTGGGCTGGCTTCCCTTCGCCCAAGAAGCTGGCTGAAGAGACCCTGCCGACGCGCACCACCGGCTCTGACGTCGCCACCCTCAAGCACATTGGAAAGGTCATCTCCTCGTACCCGAATGGATTTGCTCCCCACCGCAACCTGGCCCGTATCCTCGCCACCCGCGGCAAGACCGTCGACGAGGGTAACAACATCGACTGGGCTACAGCCGAGGCGCTCGCCTTTGGATCTCTTGCTCTCGAGAAGATTCACGTACGGGTTTCTGGACAAGACGTCGAGCGAGGCACATTCTCTCAGCGCCACGCGGTGATCCACGATCAGGCCAACGAACAGCAGTACATCCCTCTCAACAACCTTGGCTCCGGCCAGGCTCGCTTTGTTGTGTGCAACTCGTCGTTGTCCGAATACGGTGCCCTCGGCTTTGAGCTCGGTTACTCTTTGGTCTCCCCCGACTCGCTCGCCATGTGGGAGGCCCAGTTCGGTGACTTTGCGAACAACGCGCAATGCATCATCGACCAGTTCATCGCTGCGGGAGAGCGCAAATGGCTCCAGCGCACTGGCCTGGTGATGAGCTTACCTCACGGTTATGACGGACAAGGACCTGAGCACTCCAGCGCCCGTATTGAACGCTTCTTGCAACTCTGTGACGACCATCCCAATGTGTTCCCTACTCCGGAGAAGATTGAGCGCCAGCACCAGGACTGCAACATGCAAGTTGTCTACCCCACGACCCCAGCGAACTACGTATGCAACTTCGCTATGTCTCACCTTCTCTGGCTGACGATTTCCACAGTTCCACGTTCTTCGTCGCCAGATTCACCGGGACTTCCGCAAGCCGGTAGGTTTAGTGGTCATGACGTCGGTTCACTACTGATACAACGTGCTTTCCAGTTGATTGTCTTCTTCTCGAAGAATCTCTTGCGTCATCCTAAAGCCCGCTCTGATCTCGAGGAAATGGTCGGCGACACGCACTTCCAGCGCTACATTCCGGACCCACACCCTGAGAACTTGCTCCCTCCCGAGCAAATCACGCGCCACATTCTTTGCACCGGTCAGGTCTATCAGACACTGATGGCTGCCCGTGAAGAACGCGGACGGAATGATGTTGTCATCAGCCGAATCGAACAACTGTCTCCGTTCCCTTACGACTTGGTGGGTCCAGATCCGTCTATGTCGCTGTCAGAACGCTCAACTTCCTTCTGTAGATCCAACCACATCTCGACCAATACCCGAACGCCAGTTTGCTCTGGTGCCAGGAAGAGCCTCTGAACAACGGTGCTTGGAGCTACGTTGGCCCTAGAATTTACACTGCTGCAAACAAGACCGAGCACCACAAGGGCAAGTATCCGTTCTACGCAGGTCGCGAGCCCACCAGCTCTGTCGCCACGGGCAGCAAGATCCAGCACAAGAAGGAGATTGAAGCTTTCGTCAACACCGCGTTTGAAGCCTACTTTGACAAGTCCTCGTAAATAAATGCATAACCTGATACCACAAATCAGGCCCTTGTTACACGTACAACGTTCTCTAGTAATATTGGCTGGAATGAATTATTTATGTTCCAACGTCCTCGCAAGTTTTGTCTGTTCTAGTCGCGGTGGCCCGAGACCGTGTGCGAGCGATACAATACAATTCAATTCAAACAATCTTGGCGCAGCACACTTGTTTTGAACAATCATCTTCTCATGGCCCAACCTGAACCTGACGGCGAGGGCCGCACCGGAGAGCCCGCCAACTCTCACCAACGGCACAGAAGGCCTGGCCGGAGTTGTGATAGCTGCAGATCACGAAAGAGTGCGGTTCTGGCTTCCATTGATCCTAGATCTAGCGTTGACTTTTTGGCTTCGCATCTGCTGCTCAGTCCGGTGTGAGACTGTCATGGGCTTCCTCGATTCGAACACCGTGACTGAGGCACGACACAGGCGATGGTCCGTATATGGAGAGCAAGATCTGCTCGAACTGTGCCGCTTTCGGGACCGAGTGCGCATACTTGGCGCCGCCGCAGGTGCGCACTTCACCGTCTATGGACTCCTCGATCTAAACCCCACACCCAGAAACGAGGGCCCAAGGATAGGTGCGGTCGATCTTCGCGCAAGTCTACCTCGTCTCAATGCGCGGACATAGGCTGGTGGACGAACTAAGGAAGAAGATCGCGTCGCTGGAGTCTAAATTACGCTCTCAGTCTATCTGTTCTCTTTGCGCCCAGCCTCTGCAACACCGGGTTTCGAACCACTCAAGTCCCGATTTTTCTTCCAGCGACTCCGTGTTTGTTGAAGACGGGAGGGACAAAGAGAATATAGAGGTCGCTTCGGTGGAAAAGGACCCGCCTGTGGAGGAGGACTTTGAAGGCGAAGAATTAGCGAAGCGCCTGGAACAGTTCTCCATCTCGGAGATGTCGCTTATGAACAATAAGTTCTATGGGTAGGTTCGCTCTTTGGGCTAGCTTCGCATCTCACTCGTTCTTGGGCAACAGGGCTTCCAGCTGCTTCAGCTTGGCTCATACGGCAATGAAGGTGCGTTTATTCGCGCCCAGTCTGATGTTATCGAACGGAAGTTAGATCGCCTTTCCAGGCTGTCGAGACGTACTTTGGACAGACATTCATCGCCACTGACCAGCGTCCTCAATTCTACACTCTACCTCCGGTACGATTGACTGCCGGCAGTAGGGATGGTGTCTCATCACGTATGCAGTGGGAAGCCGTCACCAGAGCTCAGATGCCCCAATACATGTATCCAGAGCAAGATATGATAACGAGACTGGTCGACTTGTACTTCGCTTTCGTCCACCCCACACTGCCCATCCTGCATCGACCGTCTTTCGAGCACTGTGTCTCTCAGGGACTTCACTTCAGAAACAAGGATTTCGGGGCCTTGTTATTGACTGTTTTAGCTCTAGCATCGAGGGTGGGCATTCAGACTGAAGTCGACCAGTAGGCTTACTGAAACACATCCAGTACTCGGATGACCCGCGTGTTCTCATTGACGGCCGATCAACCCTGTCGTCCGGGTGGAGATTTGCGAATCAGGTGAACATGCACGGAATGTGGGAGCCCACGATTTACGGAGTGCAATATCTTGCCGTGTGTTTGTCTGGGTTTAAAAAGGACGTTAAGACTCATCCTTCTGCAGCTGATGACGGTCTACATCCGAGGGACGTCTGTCCAACAGACGGCGCGGAACTATCTTGCAAGTCGACGATCAGCACTCTCTTGGAGCGAAAGCACTGAGACGGAGACAGAGCCAGGCGGTTTCCCACCTCCAGCAATTGGGCGAACACCGGAGGAAGCGAGACAGAGTGATTCGGCGGGGTGATGATGAGTTGTGGTGTCGGGCTTTTTGGTAATTGCCCCCATCCCTCTGACATCTGAGTTTCTTAACGGTGCACAGGACAGTGTTTGTGTTGGACCAGACTCTGTCTACCCATATCGGACGTCCAGCCGGTAAGTGGCGTGAACCCAAGGCTTTATGCAAGCTTGCTGAGCCTTTTCCTAGGCTTTCATGTTGAAGAGTAACTCAGAATAGCCTTTCATCTTAACAGGCTAAAACTTGACGTCAGATACGACACAGATCTTCCGTTGGAAGTGGACGATGAGTATTGGGAAGACGGCTTTCAGCAGCCGCCGGACAAGCCTGCGTCTTATTCCTTTTTCGTGCACTATATCCGGTTGTGCGAGGTTTGTTGTGTGGAATTCCATCCAGTCGTGATGTTGATCTCGGCACAGATCCTGGGGGATGCCTTGAGACGGTTATACGGGTCGCGCAAGTCGAAGCTCCTGATGGGGTGGAACGGAGCCGAATGGGAAGAAGACGTTGTCAAGAGCCTCGATTCGCAGATCAATGCATGGTTGTCCGCCGTGCCGACACATCGTAAGCTCTATGCCTTGCTGATTACTGTACGTGGCTGACTCGCTGCCAGTCCGTTGGAAGACGGACAACGTCCCCAAAGATCAGACGACATTCGACCAAGCCGCGCTGCTCTATGCCCAGTACAACTATGTGCAGATTGTGGTCCGTGCGATCTGGAGGGCGTCATGTGGCCATGCGTTGATGCAGCACAGATCCACCGGCCGTTTATCAAGAGAGACAACCCTCTCGCTGCTCCCTCACTTTCGATCTGTGTTGGTGCCGCGCGCTGCATCATCCAAACTGCCGAAGCGTGGCTGCAGCGGCTGCAGGTCATGCCGTCACAGACGATGATCGTAGGCCGATTCAGTCCATCTGAATCTTTCTCTGGCGTGCTGACATGGCCTGAAGACTTCGGTGATTGTAGCTTCTTTGGTGCTGGTCCTCAATATGTTTGGGTCTCGGAAAGCTGGTCCCGCAAGCTCCAGGGATTTTGTGCAAGTGGAAGCGGCACAGAGGTTCATGAAGTTTGCAGAAGCACGGTACGAGCGTCCGGCCATCGACACCGTTCACGCATCAATTTCTTCCAGAAATCAATCCGCTGGCCGTTTATGGGAGATTCTAGAGTCTCTGAAGATATATATACCCCACTCCAACAATCAGGAATCGGCTGGATGTCCGGCCGACAGCGCTGTTGCTAGCTCTGAATTCGAGTTCCAATACGGCATGTCCATCGAGCAGCTTCTGCAGGATAATCTGTGGTCGCACACCGAAACTTCGAGCGACCTCGCGATGAACGACGATTTCATGTCCATGTGGACGCTGTCCGATTTCGCTGGGATGGAACCCATGAGGTCTGCGTCCTGCCGCCTTCTGAGCCTTCGAAACGGCTGACAGGATATCCAGTGATTCAAACAAGTGGGATCCCGCTTTTCTCGACAACTTCTGAGCGGCATTATTGTATGTACTGAGCTCGATCGTCGCACATCACGCCAAGAATAGATGACATGAACGGACAAGACAAGACTGTCGAGCGTCGTTGACTGACAGGCGAAACTGTGTGAATACTCCGCAGTGGCAGACAGAGACAATAATGTCGCAGGTGAGCAATGCTGCACATGGGGCCATCGGTCTAGTCGTCCTCTGTCAGCGTCAGTGTCAACTAGCTCAGCTGATCGGCTCTGACGCCCCGCCACCACGCGTCGCGCAGTGACCGCCCCTAATTCAAGGAACGAAATGATCCCATCACCAGCGGGCCGTCTATTAGCGACGCTCAAATCTCCATCTTAGACCTGACCTCCCACGTTTGTGTAACGTGTTTGAAATCGAATTGTTCTTACCAATCGGAGACTCTGCACGTTTACCGGCATCGGGACAGGTATAAGTCCCACCCGCTCCAGAAGATGACCGTGTCTACGTCGAACGCCCCCGCTCTCCCGCACGATGCGCAGTGGTTTAGTTGTCGCCCTGCTCGCAGCCTCCGCCTCCGCGTCTGCTGCGATTGGCCCATCATTTGAGCGCTGTCCGGCCGATTTCGAGCTCGTGCGCCGCGGTCAATCCATCAGTTCCACCGAAAAACACTACGCCCAAAAACGGCTCGAGAAGGTGGCCCACACCGGGGCGTTCAAGACCTATCTCAAAAACGTCCAAGGCACGGGGGTGCACCTCCCACAGTACTTGACGGAGATCTTGGAATCTGAGCACCGACATGAGCTGCCTACGGTTGGGATCAGCACTAGTGGCGGAGGATATCGAGGTGAGCATGCGGCGCGGCGCAGTGCTAGCCAGGTTTCGCGGGCTGGCTCTGATCGAGTGTCACAGCAAGTATCTTCGGTGCCGGTGTCTTGAACGCGCTCGATGGCAGGAACGCGTCTGCTGCGAAGAAGGGCACTGGAGGGCTGCTGCAGGCCGCGACCCACATCTCGGGCTTGAGTGGAGGATCATGGCTTGTCACGTCGCTTGCGCAGGCCAACTTCCCCACGATCCAGCACCTGATCTTCGGCGACGGCAAGAAGCAAGACTACGCCGGATGGCTCTTCCAGGAGGGACTGGTGACTGCCAACAACGCGTCCGACCAGCCAGCCTTGATCCGGCAGATTTTGGACGAGATCGCTGTCAAGGCGAGATCGTTCCCTGTCTCATTCGGAGACATCTGGGGACGGGGGCTTGCCCGCCACTTCACCAATGGCACCCTTGCCGACAACTATTTCGGCCCGGGATCCCATGGCTCGAACATCCTGTTCTCGGATCTGATGGACTTGTAAGTGTACGTTATCGCTCAAAACTCGAAGCCTCAAGTCGGATTCCAGGCCGACCTTCAAAGCCCATGAACAGCCTCTTCCCATCATCACTGTCAACCTCGTCTCCAAGCATATCAACGGCACCATCTTCCCGGGCGGGAATTTTGTTCCGCTGAACACTCCGATGTTCGAATACAATCTGTGTATGGGCTTCCTTTAGTATTTTCTATCGCTTTGGGCTGATGGCCCCCGCCGTACAGTCGAGTTTGGCAGTTATGACGACGTTCTGGCTGCCCACACGCCTCTGAAACACATCGGATCTACGAACGAAACTCTCTGCGCGGTAGGCTTTGACCAAGCCATGTTCCTGTCCGGGACGTCATCTAATCTCTGGAACGAATTCAATGTGACGGTGAGCCACGCACCTCGTGTTTGAGGGTCAGCCCGTCTCACCTCTCGTGCAGGCAGCCACCTTAGCCGCGGCCACTGGCAACTTGACGACCATTTTGAACGCCACATTCCCGCAGCCCCATACGCTCCGCCTCGACACGAGCAACTACCCGAACCCGTTTCACGGCGTTGCCCCCGAGACATTTGCCGACTCGCATGAGACGGTGCTCGCGCTCTGCGATGGGGGAGAGGACGGCCAAGTCTCGCCTCTGCAGCCCATGCTTGTCAAGGACCGCAAGGTCGACGTCATCGTCGAGATCGACGCTGTCAGCGACAACATAGGGTATGCCCAGGGCGCCTCGCTCATTGCTACGTGAGTTGCTGCACATCTGGGGATTCTCGTCTTGTGGTTGAACCAGTGTTTCTGTAGGCAAGAGCGGATGCAGATGTTCTCTCGGGGCCTTGCTCGGTTCCCTGCTGTCCCAAACACGACAGACACATTCTTGGCAGAGGGCCTGACCAGCCGACCGACGTTTTTCGGATGCGACGAGACTGCGGGTCCGCTGTTGGTCTACATCGCCAACGGCGCGCCCCCTCGCGACGGGTCGGCACCCCTGACCAACACGACCACAGGCCAAGGAATTTACACAGAGCCAGAAATTCAGGGGATGCTCCAGCAGACTTTCACTGTCGCAACCCAGGGAGCAAGCCTCGGCAATTCTCACAAGGACCCCGAATGGGCTGCGTGTCTGGCCTGCGCCGTGGGCGATCGTGCACGGGAACGGAAACGAATCGAGCGCAGCGGCATCTGCAAGACCTGCTTCGCACGCTACTGTTGGTCTGCGTAGATTGTAGTACTTACATACAATTAGTTGAACATCTTTTTATACGCCTTTTTCTCCTTGTCCCGCTTTTCCTTCTTGTGCTTCCGGATGTTCGCCAGCTCATTCGAGATGGCGGCATCGTCAGGAACATGGCTCAGCGCGGCCACGAGATCCTCCTCGGCCTGCTCCTCGTCCTTGAAGATCACGCGGGCAAGAGCCCGCCGGTATAGAGCTTTCGCTTCGACAGGTGTCAGCCACGGACGATAAGCGGGCAGGTGAAAGGAAGGTACCTTTATCGGCCGGACTCAGATCAAGCTTATTCAATGCCCGCGTAGTCGCCGTGACAGCCACAGTCGCATTCATGGTCGAAGTCGGTCGAATGCGCACGGCGATCAAGGCCGAGTTCAGCAACAAGGGTGCAAGAATAGCGTTGAAAGCATCAACCATCTCCTTCTCTTCCTCTTGGGGAGGAGAATGGTCCAAATAACGGATGGCCTCTGTACGAATGAGATGCCGTGCGAGGGACACAGTCAAACACGCACTCTGGTACTTGTCAAGCGCCAACTCAGTCTTTCCCTCCTTGTAAAGGGAAGTCGCCAACGCCCGCAACTCAGTCGCGATCTTCAACAGTGTAGCAGGATCGTTCAAGTCCCCATCGTTGTCTTCCGGAAAATCTTCATACGCGTCGCCCTCGGCGGAAGCAGCGTTCTCCTTCAGCGAAGGATCATCTGGAGACAACACCCCGCAGTCCGAGATTACGACCGGGGAGGTGGGCACATCTCCCGACGACGTCGGGAAGTTCTCGACCTGCCGGATCAGAGACTTGCCCTTGATCACCTCCCCAAACACGACGTGCTTGCCGTCCAGGTGCGCGGTGGGGACCGTGGTGATGAAAAACTGCGATCCGTTCGTGTTGGGACCGGCGTTGGCCATGGACAGCAGGAACGGCCGCGTGTGATTGACCGTGAACGCCTCGTCCTCGAACTTTTCGCCGTAGATGGATTCACCGCCTAGATCGTGATGAGGGCGCGCGATGGGGTGGGCCAGATCGAGAAGAACAAACCGGTTCCATTCCCTGCAGTGAAATCCCCGCCCTGGCACATGAAGCTGTTCGAGGTGGTCGGTACATACGTTGGCCCTGAAGAACGCATTCGACTGACCCTTTGATAACACGATGGAATCCAGATCCTTTATACCATAATGGCTTCCCTGAGTTGCCGATTCCACGTTCTCCAGTGCACAATGCACCTCAGGGAAGATGGGTGGGAAGCACACATTGAACATCGGAACCAGCTCACGAAAGTTCTCGGCCGTTTTGGGGACGAGGTCGGTGTACAATTGGAATACGACGCGACCGAGTGGTTTGTCGCCAATGGTGAGGTCAAAGTAGGTTAGAGGCCGTTCAGAAGACGTCGACATGGTCGTTTGAGAGCAGAAGTTTCGGGCATTTGTTTGGGCGATAGAAAAGGATAGAAGGTGCTAGGCTGTTCCCAAACAGGGAATGCTGTTAATAATAGCTCAAAAGCACCTTTAACAATGATTTCGAGGATCTAATCTGCGTTGTGTGAAGCTACAAACAAGATGTGTGGGTAGGCTAAATGTAGTTGTTATATACAGTGAAGGTGTCGTAGTTGATAAATAAGTGAAAAATAGTTACTGTTTGGGAATAGGTTTGTCCTTGAAAGTTAGACAATCATACAACGACGCAATTTGGTCGCCCTGAAAGTGATACTTAGTTACTTCATCTCAGAACACATGAAAATAAAACACACCTTTTGTTCCAGAATATCGACCACCTCCCGGAGATGCTTTGCAGTAAGATTCCGCTTAGGGACATCGGAAACAGCGTCCATCTCCTTGTACTGGTCTGCGAGTTCAACATAGACACTGGATCGGATGTCAATACAATCGGGCGAGGGCAGCCGAGGAAACGAACCCCTTGTAATGTGTGAAATCGTCCTCGAGGTCCCGGATGACCCGTGTGACAAGGGTCTGCGGTGGCAGACCAGCCTTCCGCGCTGCTGCTTTGTAGTCAACGTCGTTCTCACCACGAATCTCATCCTCATCCCGCGACCTTTCCAAGTTCCGGCGAGACAGCCATGAGGGAGGATTTTGGATAGGTTCTCGACGTCGACAGCATACAGTGCAACTGCGAGCGTTGTGTTCTGGCGCAGAGAAGAACAGACGCTCCAAATGTGCACCCCGGATCTGCGGGAACGGCGTCTCTGGCTCTCCTTCAGCTCTTGCTCGAGACGGTGTTGGTCCAGCGGGGCGCCGGACTGCGGCTGTACGAGAGACCGGAGACGGGGCCCGACTCGGCATACTGTTTGTCTCAGAAACCTCCTCTACTGTCGGTCTTCGACGCTGTCGTGTGGGTGTCGAAGCACGTGAGCGTTCTTGTGACGACTGGTGCGACAACTCGGACCGGCGTTCTTCGATGTCGGCAGCGATGCGCTCCAGTTCAACGTCCCGAGACAACTGGCGCGGTACAGAATTGGAGGCTGATCCGAGCGTAGCATGATCTGTTCGCATAGTTCGGTCCAAGTTCTGCCGTGATGAACCTAGAATGGATTCGGGATCAAAGGGTTCAGGTTCGGAATGTTCTTCGTGTTGAGAGCCATCCGACGGTTGCACGTCGTCATCTCTGAATGATTCGTCCTCGTCATCATCCTCCTCCTCGGAAGTGGTCTCCTCGAGATCAGCAGTCATTCCTACGTCGGCGTCGGAATGCGACTCGGATGCATCTCTCGTGGCCCGTCGCTCTCGCAGTCCCTCTTCGACCACTCCCCGAAGCACTTCAACCTCTCCAGCAAGTCGTTCCACTTCTTGTCGCAATATATCGACCTGCCCTGTCTTCTCCTTCAATGCCTTGCTGTCCTTTTCCCGCAAGAGGCGCAACTCTGTCAGAAGCTCTTGATGAGAGGAGAGTTCTGCGGTCAGACGGGTGAGGTGTGTTCTTAGGCTCGAGATCAGAGATTCCAAAGCTATAGGCGTATGTTCATCACAAGGACGACAAGAATCGAGCAGCTGCATACCTTTCTTTTCCTCAACCGCCTCTTTGTACCGTTCAACGAGGTCACTCGAGTCGAAGCTCCGGTTCGATGCTCGGGCTTTGCCTTTGCCTTTCGCGCTGGCTTCGTAACGCATACTGAGTTCTTCTTGCTCCAGGATCTTGGTACGTTCTCTCGCGACTTCCCGTTTACATGCCTCTAGTTCAAGTTCCAATTCTCGCACTCTGCGTCGTGATATCGCGTTCTCGTCTTCGAGTTCATGAAGCTTGGCCTGTACCGTGGACAAGATGGAGAGCAGTTTTGCTATGGCTGGATTAGAATCATGCAGACAGAGAACAAAGCTCGAGCAAACCTTCACTGTCTCGTGGTCGATCTACAGCAGAATAGGCATTGTACTTTCCGCCTGCCTTGGCCGGCGACTCGACGGCATTCGTCAAACCGGTCACATCCGGCAAGTAGATGCGTGATTTATGCGTAGTTCCGCGATGCTGGGATGTTGTATGATGAGCTTGCCCATTCTCATTATGATGGCTACGGTCTGAGAAGGGATTGCGCTCATTCATTTGGTCTTGCTCCTCAATGAGATCTCGCGTGATCCCTCGCGCCGCTTTAGTGAATTGAGACTGAGGTGAAGGTGAAGGCGCGACGGTGGCAGGTCGACGTTGTGGGCGAGGTGTTGCATTGTGCGATTCAGAGACGTTTCGTGTAAGGGGAGACGGTGGCACTTGAGCGTGACGATGGTTGGGCTGGTGCGAAGATGTTTGCGGACTACGTGGGCGCTTGGGAGAAAATGAGACACGCTGCAATGCATCGGCTAGACGCGGACGGGGACTGTCCGAGTCGGAAGATGCGGATGAGCTCGCAGAGGAGTGAGGTGAACGGATCCGCACAGAGCGGGAGTGGGATATGGGGGCATGGCCAGACTCCAGCACGCGGTCAAGTTTGCCAGGGCTACGGAACGATTCATACACATGCTATATCGTCATCATGAGAACTCAAATCAGACGTCAAGGAGAGTCAAACACACCTCATAATGCGAGCGAGATGGATCGGCGTCGAAGATACTCAGCTTCGGGTCCACAGCGGCCATCATGTCGTGCAGAGGTCGCTCAGGGTCGTACTCAGCTCCACTGAGACTGGCATCCCGCTTCCCGCGTCTTCCACCCAGACCAGCACTCAGCGTGAGGGCGCTTGCGTGATGGGCGGCAGTTGAAAGTGTCTCGCCGTATGGACTGATTCCTTCATCGTCGTCAGCGCCCGCGCCGTACGACCAGGCGTGAATTTGGCTCTGCATATCCTGGTCGTAGTCGCGCGAGTGACGATCAAACGAGACGAACTCGTGGAACGCGGATGGAGCGGAATTGTGTCGCGGGTATTCCACTGTGTCATCGTCCTGGGAAGAGAGATGGAGGGAGAGGTCGGTGTGTTGAAGGTTCTGCTCGAGCTGGATTCGGTCATGCTCGAGCTTATCCCCTTGTATGCTGAGGTCCATAACTGGATTGTCAAGCACAGGGCCTCTAGCGTGTCTCCTCATCATGGAAGATGGGTGTAACGTGTGTCACACACTGTCACATTTCAACAAGACGCGATTGCAATTTGCACGTGAACGTGTTTTCGCGTCCACGTGCCTACGTCATCAACAACTCACTCGCACACCCTACCATCACGGTCTCCGTTGGACGCGACTATGGATGACGACGAACTTCCACGTATCTCGATTCCGTCTATGCGCGTGTGGCTGGGGATCAAAGCCAAATACACCCGCGATCTCGAGGCTATTGTCGAGAATTTAATGCAGGGCCGCAACTTCACACCCCAACAGAAGGAAGCACTACTTGCTCGTGCACACGAGGTGAGGCTGGGGAATGCTCAATGAGTTAATAAATGCGCTAATACGATTCAGAACGTCGAGTCTGTTTTCAAGATTGCTCAGGCGAACATACGAATTAATGGACGCGACTTTGTTACTCTGCAACCGCACGAACAAGGTGACACGAGCCTTCTTCTCTATTGGAAGAGTCAACTGATCGATTCCATGGCATTAGATGCTGAACCCTTCGATGAGGCGCTTGACCGGAAGATTTGGACTTTGGCCGGAAGTCGTCTTGAATGGCACCAGAAGATAGCGAAGCAGCGGCGCGAGACGCCTCTCACCTTGGCGAATGCACTTCAGGAACAGATCAAGGAACGTGAGCAGCTGGATCAAGAATTCGATGCGGAGGACCCGTTGCAAGACATGGACGTCGATGAGCCCTCAGAGGGACCGAAACTACAAGTCGATGGTGAGCAGCTCATTCCCACTGGCTTTCGAACGCTCAATATGCATCAGAAACAGTACTTGGGCGTATATTAGCAGTCACAGGGGAGCTCGATCAGGTTTGTTGTAGATTCGGGCTGCTATATATCCTGACCGTTTTCAGATCATACCGTTGCAGCGGGAACGGTCCGAGCGATCGCGTACTGTGGAGGCAGAAATCAAAGCTCTGCGACCGTGAAACGAAATGGTCGCTCAAACATGACTATGTATCACTATCTATCGTTGACCTCGTTATGTAACATCTTTATATGTATATACAGATACCCTCTTTCCTCTTTGCTACGATGGGGAGGATCGGAGTAATTGCATGCAGATCATGGTACAAGAGAGGTCTGAAGGGGCGATGCACTGCCAGATGGTACGAAATCATCACGTCTTCCTGCGCTTTGCTCCTCTACCCTCTTCCATGTCTGATTCTCGCTTACTCTTCTTTCCAGTTGCCCGCATAACTTCCTTTTTCCGTTCTTTGACCTTTTCGGTCCTCTTTTCATCCTCCTTCTCAACCTTTTTCTGATGAGCGACCCTCTTCTCGTTCTTCTTGTCTCTCCGGCGGGCCACCTGGTCCTTTCGCAGAGCGCGAATTTGCTGCAAGAGGGCGACAGCCTTGCGTTCTTCGGGCTCCATCACAACAGCTCGTTTCTGTAGGTATGTCTGCTGTTTTTGCGGCTTCATCATTCGCGGTTTCGACGCGTACGGTAGGCTGGCCTGCAGCTTCTTCGGTACAATGAGCGGGTTGAACCGCCGCTGCGGGCGATCGATTGCTTTGTACGTCGAGTTCACGTTCAGCGGTGTCTTGATCCCTTCATCACGGCGGACCTGACCGGTGAGCCGCATTCCTGTCCAATGTGACTTGTCCGACAAGAGGAGAGACGTGACAGGATTATAGAACTTGCGTGGCTGGATCGAGTACCAGGCCCGCAGAAATATGATGTCTACCAACAACTGAGATGTAGCTCGGAGCATGAAATATGTTTGCACTCACCACTCATCAGCACCTTGTCCTCAAATGTGGCTCGGAATGCTCCATCAGGTTTTGAAAGGCCTTTCTTGACTTGACCGCGGATACCAGACACTGTTCTGATGTTGGCGCCCTCGAACTTGGCCACCTCAAGTGCAGAATTAAACATGTCCTTCACAAATGCCGTGTTCTTGAAGATCTTGTACGGAACACCCGTCAGCTTGATCTTTTTGACGATCTTTGCGGAGCGATCAATGTCCAGAACGACGCCAGTGGCCGAGACCCGGAACCCTGGGGTGTTGCTGTCCATCGAATTGAAGGCACAGAAGCCCGTGTTTGGCAGCGACACAGGGCCATAGAAGGTGGCATAACAGTGCATGTGCTCGGGCGTGTACTTAAGCATCCGCATCCGGATCGAATGGTCATCCAGAGAGTAGATGGGCACCGTCTGGAACCGCCGCCAGCCCAGCGAGAATATCAATGGGTCATTGGTCTTCAAAGTCTTCACGAACCAGCGATGTCGCTTGATCCGGACTTGGACGAAACCGAATCGCTCCTCCGCAGGGAGCAGGCCACCAACAACAAGAGGGAACATAGGGTCAAAGTTCTCGATCATCTCGCACGGCACGTCTATCAATTCGATGCGCACATAGGCACCGGGTCGATGGCCCTCCACAAGGGCCCTTGTTTCCGCCGGGACATCCTTGAACTCGTCGATATTCAGCTGCAGTTGCCTGGACATTTCGTCCTTCTTTTCTGTGTAGAAATCCATCTTGGAAGCTTCCGGATCATCGTACTGCTCGTCGAACTTGCGTTTGAGTTCCTCCTTCTTCGCAGCGAGAGCAGCAGCCTTAGATGCTTCGGTGTCGGCCGCTTTCGGGGTGTCTGCCTCCAGATCTTCGAAATCCCCATCGCCATCAGCATCCTCGTACTCCTCGTTACCACCTTCACCCTCGACCGGACCGGTGATGAAGAGATGCCGGATCGAATCGAGCAAGTCTTCATCCTCCCAGCGCCGGAGTTCTTCGTCTGTCCACGCTTGCTTGCTGGAATCAGTCTGTTCCACTTCACCCCCCGTCCTCGGTTTGATGCGGAAGAACTCTTCGTCTTCTTCGTCGTTTTCAGGCGTGTCGTTTTCTGTCTCGTCCTTCCCGCTCAGCACTTGTTCGGGGGTGAGATCACTCGCATAGATCAGCTTGATCCAGTCTTTCCGTCGACGAGACTTTCCCGCTGTCGCCTGGGCTCTTTCAGCCAGGTTCATTTTCCACCTTGGAACATCCTCCTCCCCGTCTTCCTCTTCCTCGCTGGGCAAATGCATCTGCTCCTCGTCGCCGAAATCCAAACGTCTTTCTTCCTCCTCATCTTCGTCACCCAGATCCGAATCGCTGTCCGCATATTCGATGTCCGCTGTCCTGCCCTTTGAGCTCCCGGCGACTGGGACTGTGCGAGTAACATCTCGACGGGACGCCCGGCCGCTGTTGTCCCCAATATCCATCAAGTCCTCGCCCTCGTCCTCGCCGGCGCTCAAATCATCGTCATCTTCCTCCGAGTCGCTCTCGTCTTCGTCTTCGTCATCTTCGTCATCCTCGTCGCTGGGGCGGCCGTCCTCTTCATCGCTCCGGTCGTCTTCGTCCACCGTGAGATGCTTGGAGGACGATCCAAAGAGTCGGATATGGCTTTGAGCAACGCTGTCTTCCAACGTCGCTCTCGCATCCTGAAGGTCCATGACCATCTGCTCTCCCTCTCCCTGCGTGACTGCAACGATCTGAGAACTCTAGTCCTCATCAAGGATGAAATCCACGCACCGTCTGCGTTCTCTCGCGTGAAACTGCCCGGGACATTGATCCACACCGCGTCTTTGTCGTACATCATACCGCCCACGTCGCTCATCGGCGCATGGATAAGCAGCTTCTTCCTTTCGCTCAACTTGCGGCGCTTCTCCGAGTCGACGTCGGGCAGCGGACACGGGTCGCCAAGGATGGTGATGCTCTTCATGTCTAGGTCGCCCACACCGGGGATATGGACTTTGGTTCCTGCGCGCAGATTGGTGCCGCGCACGTATCCGTAGACAGTGACAACACGGTCACACTTGCCCCCGCTCTGCCGGATCTGTTCTCGCGGTGTGAGGTCTTCGATACGGTCTGCCAGAAGATATGGATGGCTATTTCGGAAGACGAGAGGACGGAACTTCATCACACTGATGAAGCGCGAGAGATTGAGGATCTCGCTGTCGGGATATCGGCCGTTGAGGACGCCTGAGAGATAGAATAGCTTGGCGCCTTGGTAGATCTCCGTCCAGAATCGTTTCTTGAGAGCCTTTTTAGTGTCCTTCAACGTCGCCGCCTTCTTGATGAGATCGAGGTGAGAGAGAATTCCTATGACCTTTGGGAATCCGTGCGATTGCAGGACGTTCAAGAACTCGAAGATTTCCTGTAATTATGTGAGCACGCTGTTCATCACTGGAAGAGTAGAAGATGACCATTTCGAACCCGAAAGACCCGTCGATCATGAGGAGAACGAGGTCCGCAACTTTGCCTATGTCGATCATGCTATTCAGGTCGTTGTTACATTCGATGAACGTCAGACGCCTCTTCTTCCCGCTAACGACCGTTATGGGACCCTTTGCATCATGGAGTGTCTGCTTGGTATAGCGCCGCACAAGACTTTTCAACAGAGTGGTCTTGCCGACCCCAGGCGGTCCCACGATAGCAACAATCACGGGAGGAGGCTCGTGGTCGGGAGTACGGTTGACGAGGGGGACATGGAGACGTGTTTGCTCTCGCTCGACGTTACGACGACCTTGCCGATCAGCCCGCCGCCCGGATTTCGGAGCGAAAGCCTACGCGAGACATCTGAGTGGATTTCTTGGGTCGAGGACGGCGCCCGTCCACGCACCTTTTCATTGAACCCATGCTGTTTCTCCTTCCCCTTCCCCTTGTCCTTTTTCTCCGCCTTCGAGCCTGACTGGGGCGCCCTATGCGGCTTATGTGGCTTGTCCTCCATCGCTGGAGGAGGTCTGGTCAAAAAATAAGTGATGGAGGCACAGCCACCGATGTGTCAAATGGGGCGGGCCGCCGGATCCGATCTATTGGCTACGACGTGATACATGTTGGTGAATGTACAGTACATCTAGAATTCAAGCGCTGAGGTCGTATGAAGAGATTCTCAATGCGCCCATTGAGGTCGATTCCCACCGCCCACATTCATGCTGCCGATGTATGCATCCCATTGTCGCAGATCCCTGAGACAAGGCGGTCAGCGAAGAGAAAGTGACAGACCTAAAATACTCACGAGAGATGCATTGGGGTGGACATCCACGTCGACATGGATTGATCATCCAGATCCATCATCTGGTCGTCCAAAGTGAAGTCCAGCGGCTGGAAAGGGCCGGTGTTTGCCAGCAGCTGCTCGATGGACATTCCCGGTTTGAAAAGCGGTGAGGGAGGTTGGGCGGAACGTGCCATCTTCGCATACCACAGCGGATCAGGAGCTACTGCATTGAACAATTCCGAGTGCTGGGATGTCTGCTGTGTTGCAAAACCAGTCGGTGCTCGAGGAGGTGCTATATTCCTCTGCTGCATCTTGTTCGGCTGTGCGCGAGGCTGGCGGTCCAGCGAACGTAGCTCAGTCAGCATGTCCCAGAATCGACCGGCAGCCTGCCATCTATGCGCAAGATGTGAGACTGTATTGATATTGTGCACCCAGTGTCTAACCTTGTTTCCGAAAATTTGATGATCTGCATCCCTATCTCGATGAGGGCCAGATCCCGCTCTGCCACGTTGCCTGACATAAGAAGAATCAGGTTGGACACGAAGCACGGGTTCTGGTGAGACGCGGAGGTGAGTGCATCAAACAAGCGCACTTGCTCATCCACTTACCAGTGCGTGAACGGTGGGTAGACGGTGGAGTCGATTGAACCAAGCCCCAGCTGTATGCAGGATGGAACGAGCCGCCCGGATGCAAACAGAATGTGAGCGGGTAGCCAATTCGTTATTCCGTTGGATGAAAGGCCGATGAATCTGACTACGTGAGGGTTCCAGCCGAAGAACACGAGCATTCATACCAAAATAGTGACATAATTTTCCACAATGTGCAAAGTGGCCGCTTGATCCATAATCAGAGGGTCTTGGGGCATGTTCTCGGGATTCCATCGCACTGTTGCATGTATCAGTGATGTCAGACAACAAGGAAAAGCTCGAGACATGCAATGGATTGGAAGGGACGTGCTCAGCGCCTCCAGCGCCGAATCGAGTTCCGCAAGGATCTGCTGCTCCCATTCTTTCCCAAGCCAGCCCATTCTCGCCTTCGTTCGTCGAGTAGCATAGAGACGACGGATAGCATCTGCGAGGATCTAGGTAATTGTAAGTAAGAGCAATTCGAACAATAAGGCATTTACCTCGCTGTACTGCAGATAGTAGACAAAAAAGGAATATGCAGAAGGAACCCCCGGTGGTTGCACGAACCCTTGCTCCCAGTACTCGTCGTCGACTTCGAGAGGAGGGTCGACTTCATAACTGCCTTCATGAGCAGTCCGCCGAAGATCCAGAAAGACAGCTTACTCTTCGATGTGGAAGGCTGCAGCCGAGATGGACAAATGGATATCATCAACACATAACCATCAATTCTAGAACATACCAAGAGGACGGCCGATAAAGGCGCACACCGTTCGATCGAGACAAATGAATGCCCTTTCATTCATCAGTCATCACCAGGCTTCAACACGAGTGTGGCTTACCAAAACGCTCGGTTCCACAACTCACTTTCAGGATCAGGCGATCCGGGCTGCCGCTTTGTGCGGTGCTGACCCCGTTGCTGGAGGAAGCGGATGCCTAAACCCTGTGGGATGTCGCATTTGTGCCGGAAAGATGAGTATAGGCGCGCTTACCAGATAGAACCAACAAGCCTGCGGAAGCGCCGTTCCGATCAGATACAGGGTCATAAGCTGGGCGGCCAATGAGACGAAAGAGACTGCGAAAAGCCAAGAGACTTGCAGCATAGAATTGGACATGATAGATTGAAGGCTCAAATGTCTTGCGTAGGGGCTGTGTCTGAGCAACGAACTTCCAGCCCGCAGAGGCAGCCGAGTAACCATCGGCAAAGACGCGTGGATCGTTCGAGTGCTGGGCCATTGCAGATCAGACACATCCAGCAACATTGACGACCATCTACCCTCGAAGCCATGGCTAGCAACGCAAGCAGCATTGTGGCAAAGTGGGGATCGCGGAAGTGCAAACCCTCTGCAAGCGAGCGCTGGAAAGTGGGTCGGTGCAGTATTGGGAATGTCGGATGTATCCGGTCCTGGGAGTAATCAACACGCGTTCTATGCTATCAGAAGCAGCTGACCCACAAAGTACAGCTGGACCAGCGATACCATCAAATCGTCTTCAGGAAAAGTGTAATGTGGCTGGTCATTGTAGTACGCTTTTTCCCACTGCAGTTCGTTCAGCGAAAGAGGAACGTAGAACTATACACGCACCGCCGGAGTTTGCCAGAAAACCATGCGCTTGTAATTGGCTGCCATCGGACGCCCAACTTTAGTCTCTTTCGCCTGCACCGTTCGTTAATCCATCTGTGACATCCGTGGATCACACAAGGACGTGCCTGGATAGCATTGTTGGCAAGCGAATATGTCGACACCGTACCAAAGTACTTGTTCTTCATGGCAGAGATCGAGAATTGGCTGAGCTTGGCTGTAAGCTCGTCGTCGTCTTCGTCGTCCTCGTTCCACTCTTGAGGAGAGATCATGTGCGACCCAGTGGTGTGCTCATTCCGAAATGGCGTGGGCCGGTCACGATCGAGAGGCTGCGAGCACAAGGCACACACAGATGCGGCTCTCAGTCGGGCTTCCAACGACGCATTCTGCTTTCGTAGTTCGTCCACCAGGCTGAAGAGCATTTGGGATCGGACAGAGGACATCTTGTTGGGAAACGCACCGATTCTTGGGCCCGCGCTTCTTGGGGAGCTCGAGATACTGCACAGATGTCAGAGGAGTAATGTATTGCGAACAAAGTGCAAGCTTGTTTCGTACCGTGCACGTCGCCCCAAAGTCGACACAATTACTACAAGGGGCATCCTTCGGGGCGTTACCTGGCGCTCTTCAGTGCGCGATACTGTTGATCAGGCGGAAGGTCTCACATCGGACTAGTTGGAGCAGTCAGCAAGCGCGCACAGATGTAAAAATAGCGGTCCACTTTTTCTGGTTCGGCACGTATCGCAGCTCCTGTTCGGTCTTCTTTGCTTCACTTTCTGGGCAGAAGGACCGGGGCTGGGCCCCGGCTCGCTCATAGGGCTGGCCGACGAAGAGGACATAGTCGAAGGAGATGGAAACATTGGTTAATCCTCTACTCCAGCTTGACTGATAAGATCAGAATCCGAGTGATGCGGCGCAAGCGACAGGGCCCGGGCGATCTGTAACAGAATTGCCAAGTTGACTTTGAAACAAAAGAAACAGGAGACCTAGGAAACCGTCAGATGACAATGAATCAAGTATCCCGGCCCGAGGCAGTAAGAATGGATAGCTTGTAGGACGACAGCGCCATTAGCTAATGGAAGTGTCTTGAGAAGAGAGAGTACGACTCCGGAAGAGGATAAGCTTTGTATTACATACGATACATCTGCTACAGTATTCAGGATGCCAATGATTGTCAGGTTCCTACAACAAGTTCCAGACTGGCTCTAACCGCGTCGGTCAGTCCACTACCGATAAGGACCAACTTGCCCTGGTCTGGAACACCAACTGCGTCTCGTGAGCTACTCTCGGTGAGATCGTACATGTTCCTAACACCCTGAAGCACGAATTGGGCCCCGGATTCTACCAAGAATAGTCCTTTACATCGCAGGACAAGAAGCTCGTTGGAGTCTGATCCCGATTCCGGAAGATGCTGGTCCCAGAGCACGGATTGAATCCATTTATCCAGTGCAGCAAGGCGTGCGGTTGTGAGAATAGGCACGGGAACAAGCAGACTCGATATTCCTCGCAGTTCATAATGAGTGGCTGTGTGGTTGGGTTGACTTTTGTGGTCATGCTCGTGATCGTGTCCAGGATCATGCCCGTGGTCGTGCTTGCTGTCGTATTGAGTGCTCGCAAATGCAGGCGCACTGGCATATGCCTTCAGCCCCAGTATTTTCCCGACGTCGATCTGGGCCTTTTCGGTCAAATAGATCGGGGCAACCGGGTTGACGGCGCGCATCAACGCTGTCGTCTCTTTGACCAATTCAACAGTGGCGAGGTCGATTTTGTTGAGGATCAAGACGTCTGCACATGCAATTTGCCTATAGATTTTAATTTAGTACAAGTTTCAAGGCGGTCTCATACCTAACACTTTCGCCCACTGTTTCAGAGCTGTGGTCCTCAGCCATTTGCTACAGGGGAGATGTCATTCTTGCTGTATTGAACCCACATGGCAAACGCACTTGTTTTCCAAAAACAGCATCCACAACGCAGATAACACCATCCAGAGCGATGCTTTTACCGAGACCGGTTGCAAATTCCTCGTTGTGCCAAAATAAAGACGCGATGGGCCCTTTCAAGATTGAAGATAATCGTGGCATTCACCGACAGCCCTTACCTGGATCGGCTAGTCCCGTAGTTTCTAGAAGAATGTGGTCGAAACCACCCTTCCGTTGCATCAGTTTCTCGATAGCCGCAATGCCAGTGTCCTTGATACTGCAGCATAGACATCCATTGGCCAACTCGAGGAATTCTTCAGATTCTGCGCCCTCTTCTGATGAAACGTTGATCGTCTTCGCTGTAGGACGAATGAGGTCGTGGGGAAAAAGGTTCGTTGACTGCCTCGGGACCTTCGATATCCTGCATTAGACATCAAGAGTGGCTGGACGTGACCATTGCAGTAGAAACCTGCCGCCGTGTCTCCAAACTCGTTCATGATTACCGCGATGCGAAATCCATGATGCTCAGTCAGGATCCGTTTGAGCAGAGTTGATTTGCCTGCTCCAAGGAATCCGGATATGATGGTCAAAGGCACTTTCTCAGATGTTTCTGAGTGATGCGTTTCAACGGCGTATGTAGTGTGGTCGATGAGAGTCGGGATATCATCATCGAGATCATCCATGCTCGGTAGGGGACCAAGAAGAGAAAGTGGGCATCACGTGGTTGACGTCATGAATTGGAACTGCTACTTAGTGGAAGCAGCTGGAGGAAGGTCAAGCACTTCAAAGCATACTTACATTAACGGTATGCAACTCGGAATACCACTTCTTATGTACATACTTTTAGCCGGGGTGTTCAAGATTGAATCTCCTTGAGGATGTACCCCTCCAAGCCTCCACACACCCACAGTTCCTGCACACTAGGTCCTACGGGTTTCACGCTGTATTCTCGGTTCTCATCTCCGTAGCGAACAACAACAAGTCCGCTGTCCATGCTGATCTTGATCTGCATTCCGCGCTCAACTGTGAGTTCGCCATCTGTCCCTCCTGCACCTCGCACGCCGCCTTGAGCATAGCGAGCAGTGAGATCGGCGACCAGTTCGGGACACTCGAGACAGACGAGTCCGTTGTTGATCGCATTGCGCTTGAAGATGTCCCCGAATGATCCAGCAATGACGACAGGGATTCCAGCAGATTTCAGAGCAGTAGCCGCCTGCTCACGGGAAGAGCCGGTCCCGAAGTTGTATCCCGCGACAAGGACGACGCCGGGCTCGGCATTTTCTGTCGAACGGGGTCGAATGGACGCGACCATCTTCGCAAACGCAGGGTCATAATTCTCCATCACAACTTCCGCTTGCCGGGCGAGGGTGATATCATCCTGATATGTATACTTACCAGGATATAGCGCATCTGTGTTCAGATTGTCCTGGGGCGCAAACACCAGCGGGCCAGCAAAAGACTGCGGGAAACCCGGCAAGATAGGCTCTGTCTCCCCTGGCGGAGCACTCGCTTGGGTCGCCTCCGGAGCAGAGGAGATGGAATACGACGGTGCCCCAACAGGGGGGAGAGTAGCCGGATCGAGGGATGCAGGCCCGCAGATGTAGCCTTTGATCGCGCTCGCAGCGACGACTGCAGGACTGGCGAGATACGCAAGAGCCTTGGGGTGGCCCATCCGCCCTTTGTAATTCCGGTTTGTGGCGCTGATTCCAACCTGTCCCTCTTCAAGCAAGCCTGTTCCCAAGCCAATGCATGGCCCACAGCCAGCAGGCAACACCTTCGCACCAGACAGAACGAGGGTGTCCCAATAGCCCAACTTCTCGGCCTCCAACTGGACAGCAGAGCTCGCTGCAGCAATGTAGAACTCGACACCCGGGGCCACAGTGTTTCCGCGCATGACGGCTGCTGCAGCAGCAATGTCTGACACCCGAGAGTTTGTACAGCTGACCAGATAAGCCTTCTGGATAGCAATGTGCGATTTCTCCAGCTCCGGCAACGGAGTGGAGACTTTCACGCTATTTGGGCCGGAAACATGGGGAACAAGGGAGGAAAGATCAAAGATGAGATGCGACGAGTATTGGGCGCCGGGGTCTGACTGGAGGAAAGGAGCAGAGTCTCTGAGCGTATCCAGTCGCTGGCGGTTTATCCGAGGATGCATCGGTGGCGCGGGAATCAGAGCGGCCATCTCTGGCGACGAGAACGTCCGCAGCTCAAGCTTGGAAAGCACGGCATCGTACCAGTTCAGCAGGGTCTTGTCGACCGGGAATACACCGGCAAGCGCGCCCCACTCCGTAGTCATGTTTGCAATCGTCAGTCGCTCGTCGACACCTAATGTTGACACCCCTTCACCCGTGAACTCGATTGCCGCATTCAACACTTCGTCCTTGTTGAACGACCCACACAGCGCAACGATCACATCCTTGCCGGTCACACCGGGTGCGAGCTTTCCCCGCAACTCGACATTCACCATCCGCGGCACCTGCCACCACGTCTTGCCCGTAGCCCACAATGCAGCTGCATCCGTCCTGACGATAGGTGTCCCAACACAACCGACACCACCGTACATGTTGCTGTGACTGTCGCTGGCAACAGTCAGGGTATTCGGAAACGCGTATCCTTCCTCCACAAGCACTTGATGCCCGATACCTCTGCCGGCTGGATAGAAGTCAACCGTGTGCAGACGCGCAAACTCCTCAATTGACGCGTATTTCTTCATGTTCTGAGGTGAACGGTTCTGAACATCATGATCAAGCGTGAAAACAGGCTGCTTGGGATTGTGGATTCGTGTTGCGCCGATTGTCTTGAACCTGAGAGAGTTGTAGTTCGACTAGGGAAGAACGAGAACAAGCACGGACTTGGATATGACGGGCCCCGTGTTATCATGGGTCATGACGTGCTCGGGGCGTATCATCACATAGTCGCCCGCTTTGACTACCTTCCCGGGCGGTAGATCCACGGCATACTTTTGTACAACTTTTTCGATTACGGTTTGCGGAACCCGTGGAGTCGAATTGACTGTGGTAGCAAATGAGCGCAACTGCGACCAAGGCAGCTGCTTCAATGGCATGAGAGTCGAAGAGCTCGAGTGAGCAGACGATGGACTAGTATGACCGGATTGAGACTGCGACTCAGTAGACTCCGAGCTTCTTGCCGTGACGCTGTGACGCCCGACTCGGCAACGTCCGACTTCGGAGTATCATCGGGATCCCGGACCGGTGTGGACAGTGATAGCCACGTCTTGGACACGTCGATCGTCACTTTAGATCATTCACTTCACTCTTTTGCTTTCGCGTTCTCGTAGAGCCATGTCTTTTATCCGGTCAGCAACATTCGACGACACGCGACATAGTTCTTAATTCTCTTGATCAGGTTGGCGTTGTGCGTTGTGGGGGTGTATTCAATGTTCCTGGTGCGTAAGAATGCGAGTGCTGTCTCTGAGTGCTCACTCTTCCAAGCTATGGGCTGTTTCTCAAGAACGACGTAAGCTTGATTCTTTGCGCATTCATGCTGAACAATAATCCCGTCTCTCGAGTGTCTGTTCCCTTCGTCTCCATCGACGGCAAGTCGGAGAAATTCAAGTCGGCAATGTTCATCGGCACCTTACAGAGCACCTTGAGTTCTGTGTCGGCTCTCATATATATCTTGATCCGCCGGAACTCGAGCGAGACCTTGATGCAGAGTCTTGGTCTCGAGCATGTAGAGAAGCTCGACGAAAAAGCCAACGGACACGCCCATTCTAAACATCCCGACAAGCCTTCCACCCGTTTCTCGCGCTCCGCGCTGCTCGTTCGTTACCTCCAATGCTCGGTGTTCATCACGCTCGCTGCACCGTTCGGATTCGCGGCGCTCTCCTACATCTCTTACCCCGCCATGGTGCTTGGCAAGTCGTGCAAACTGGTTCCAGTTATGATCATGAACGTTCTGCTGTATCGCCGCAAATTTGCTCCACACAAATACCTGGTCGTCTTCATGGTGACACTGGGCATCACCATATTCATGTACCTTGGTCCATCCAAAACTTCCAAGGCAAAGGCGGGCCCATCTTCGAACGCCAGCTTGATCGGGCTTTCGTACCTTCTCATCAATCTCGCACTGGACGGCGCGACCAACTCGACTCAGGACGAGATTTTCGCGCGCCATCGTGTTACGGGGCAGCAGATGATGTTCTGGATCAATGTGTTCTGCACAATCCTTACAACCGTCTTTTCGGCTCTCCCCTTGCCGTACATTCCTGTCATTCACCCAACGGATGCAGGGAGCGAGCTGGCCTCGGCTCTGGAATTCGTACGGACACACCCCAGCATCGTCTCACCGCTGTTGCAGTTTGCACTGACAGGTGCTCTCGGGCAACTGTTCATATTCGAAACCTTGCAGCACTTTGGGTCCCTCACACTTGTGTATGTTTTTCCGCGCTGCTTGGGATTCTTTACTCAAGGCCGCCACAGGACAATCACATTGACTCGCAAGATGTTCACAATGATTCTCTCCGTGGTTGTCTACAACCATAAACTGACAGCCGGTCAATGGCTCGGAGCGGGCGTCGTTTTTGCAGGAATATCAGTGGAAGCCCTGGTCAAGCGGAAACGTGAATTCGCCCTCTCTTCTGCGACGCACTACTCTCCACTAACTCGCTGCGCAGACGTCCACGTAAAACGCGTTGTTTCCGAGAAGGAGACTGCCAAGATCAAGTCCCTATGATTCCACCCCATTAGAATTTGGATACATACTACAGAAAGCAACTGAACAGGGAAAGCGTCGGCTATGAGAGTTCCATCGCATTCGAATCGAACGCCGGGGTAGGAGCAGCAGCGGGGTCAACGAGAACGCGTTTGCGATCGTCATATCTGCAGCTCTTACGCTCAATATCTGGGTGACACTCGTCAGGTTTGCAATACGCACCGATCACTACCATCCTCGTCATCTTCGTCCTCCCGCTTCCTGCGAGACACGACACGGTTCCCACTGGTCGGATATGATGCCACTGCTATGCTCGCTCGATAGATAGCTTCGTATTCCTGGAGTCGAATGAGTATTCAGATAAGCCGATTTCAATCATTGAGTTATCGCCACCTTGAGCTGGGTCAAAAATCCGCCGTTGGGCGAAATACAGTAACGTCGGTTCTGCACCATGTGCAGTGCGTCTTCCCATGACATCTGATAGTGCTGCATGACGAACATAACAACAAAGGCGGGAGAAAGGCTGATTCCGCCTTTGTGTAACCAATCAGTGTGAACCTGAATACTGGTCCTTTGTTACGTACCATTACAGTGGACAAGGACACGCCCACCTTGTGAGATGGCGGCCTCGATAAATGTCTTCGCCCTGATCAGCTGGCATGGGTGGATTATAGACCTGCTCAAGCTGATGCACGCACCCCGGGAATAATCGAATCAGATTCTGTTCTTCGTTGTCTTCGACATCCAAGGTCATGTACTCGAACTGGTCCGGAAAGCGAGGGCGAACTGAGAAAGCTTCCTTAGCGTCGCGAATGCAGACACTGCAGCGGGGTCAGATGTCATCCTGACGATGGGCAGGTCGAGCGGCACATGTGCGTGATCCCAATACTACGCAGTGTGTCCAGCGACTTTGAGGCGACGAAGGGCCCCAGGAATAGTCCAGGCAGGATTTCCTGGCATTCTCTGCGCATCTCGTAGCGCCACTCGACATCCCCTGGGCCCTGGACAACAGTCTTGAGCTGATCCTCGGTCAGCAGCGCGTTCATTGATGTAAGGGTGGACGGAAGGTGCGTTATGTCACGTTCCCCGTTGTAATTACATGACATACAGATGCTGACGTAAGATAGTGCTCTGTAGACCTTGAGTCGAGCTGGAGCCCAGCCCTCAATCAATTGCAGCTTCGTTATTCAAACGTTTAAAGTTGACAGGCGGGGATCATAAACCCTCAGAATCCATAAAATCTTTCTCGCCCTTTCCGCGCTTTCGATCATTGCACTGGCTACTTGGCTAAGTCGAGGGTGATCTGAGCTCACTCGGAGGCACCAACCAGGTCCAAATCAAAAAGCTGGCCCGAGAAAGCGGAAAAGAAGCTAGCAGCTGACTGGAATGACCTGTGGAATTGGAGTGATTTGTAATTTCGCCCGGCGCGGCTTGCAAAGGCATCGAGCGAGGCGAGCGGAGATAAACCGAGGAGGCATACGAGTGTACGCAAGCAATACTGCGTGTAGTCATGCTCTAGTGGAGACTGGCCAAGGATCTAGATCGCATGTCGCGCCGTGGGTATGAGAATGCTGCGGCGGCGGCAGTGCTTTGGGGCACCCATAGTAATGCTGGTGTTTTAATGGCTGGCCGGGATTGGGCTGCTCATTCGGAATTGTATAGACAAAATGGTGCAGCGCAGGTACATGGCTGTTTTATGGGAGAAGATGGTCGTGGTCAAGATCGATCGTCGGTCCGAGACACCGGATCGACTGCTTGCTTGCTCACAGCCCTCATCTGCATGGCACAAAACTCGAAGTACATTCGATCACGTCCGCTGCCCAAAGCCTACACGGAGCAGCAGCTTACTTTTCTCAAGAGGCTAGTTCAACCGGGTCCCCTTTGACATTGCACTTATCCACTGCACATTAAGCTACCTTCCTGAATTTGAGCGGAGGTCCCTAGGGCCAGTGCGCGGAGATGCAGTATGCTTCTTGCATGGATTTTCCTACTTTATGCATCCGGCTCACTCTTTCCAGAAGAAATTTGCCATGGAGAGAGCTGCGGAATTCATTGTACGCTTCGGCATCCCATCGTCTGCGCAAGTTGAACTCGGCGAGGACGTCGATACCAAGTTCAGAGAGGTTCTTGGGCTTTTCTCTACTGATGACTTTGACCCCTCAATACATGGTGCAGCAACTTTACAACTGGTTCAAGAATAGTGTGGGACGGAATCGCAGGAAGGCTGAGGGCAAGCCGAGATCGTCTCGGAAGACGCCAGAGAAAGGTTCGTTTTGGTGTTTCACTTCAATGATTGGGATTGACTATGGCTTATGATAAGACATGCCCATTCAAGTTGCACGAACACCTGCCCACGACCCTTGGATGGATACCAGCCCTACCATCAGTATTGAGCGTGATTTCACGCTCTCAGATAACACCCTAACATCTTCTCCGACGATGACCAACACCTACTCGCACCACGATAGCCCGGCTGCTGTAACGCCATCCCCTACGGTGACTGCTCGGCTACCCATTCATGTGCAATATCCTATCGCGAGCACCTTGGCAAATGCATTGCAGCGTTCTCCGTCTTCTCCGCCATGTTTGCCCCAGGCACCTGCTCTCCTTCCGCCAGCATTGCCAGTGATTGTGACTATCGCATCACTGACAGAGGCTTTTCTGAGCAATATCGATGTCGCCCTTCTTGCCTCGCAAATGCAGGTGCTGGCATTGGCAGAGCCGCCGCCCTTGACCTTACAGCCTGTTATATTCGCATTGTTCCAGGCCACATCCTCCGAGTGGGACAGAAGCAACACACCGCCCAACACTCTGCTGACACGCTTCCTCGGAGCTGTGCGGTACTTCACCTCGGCCGTATGTCACGCAGGAGCGACTGGACCACTTGCTGGTGCGCTTGCCCTCCAAATGCAGATACGCAAGTCGGCCAGGTGGACGTCCACTGCTGCACGAAGTCACACGGAGGCCAACCCCGCGTCTTCCATGTCCCTTGAGCTCCATCGCATCACGGCGGACCGCGCACGGCGTAAAGATCACATGCAATGGGCGAGGATCCACAGTTCTGCCATCGAAACAGGCGTGTTTGCGTTAGGCTGTGACATGAGCTCCCCGCCTAACATACACGACTACACCAAAAGTCGTGTTTTCAGCGACCTCTTTGTTCAGGATGCGATCTGGGAAGAGGATGAAGTCGAATGGGTCGCGGGATCATTCGTTCTGAGGTCCCTCATCAGAACTGCCATGCGCGGTGATGCTGTCATCCGACGGCATTATGAAGAACTGCTGGTTCACTACGAAAACAGATGGAAGGTTATGAAGGATGAAACCAGACAAGCGTTTGTGACCGTACGTCCACTTCCCGCCTTTCAGAGGATGGTCTGACCAGGAAACAGGAAGCACTGCTGTCAGCCAAGGCGCACTTGGCTAGTCTGGCAGCGCCGTGATCTCCAAGGCATTATCTGGACTTTTTCTTGACCCGGACGGTTATATCCCCCTCTCGGGCGCCCATGCTTGGCGCCACGCGACCATCCATTCCGTCGTCATCCAGCGCGAAATTCATCGGTTGGCGTGCATCTCACCAGCTCTTGCGCTCGGAGACGAGGTTCTGGCCTGCACGAACATGACGTCTGGACTACGAAGGGCTCGGCGCGGACCGATCGCGAAGGTCACGCTAGCACGTGAACGTGACACCACGCACCACTAGCATCCCTGTCCGGTTGCGACTCGTTTCGGCTATCTCTGTTTCCCTTGGACTAGTACATAAGATCTGCTTTGCGAGAATAACGCAGCAGACTAGTCACACTAGATGGAGATGCAGTAAGACCCGCCTTCCGAATTGACGTCCGATCATGTCATCATCCCTCCCCGAGGTTGACAATACATATACGCATTGAAACAGCTTTGACGAAATCTGAGGCCGGATCATGTTCAGGCGACGCTATGCCAAGTGCACTGGAGGCTCTCCGCGCTGGAATATTTGTTTGGACCAGAGCTGGACCCATTTTACTATCTACAATGCTGTACATACAAGAATTTCAGTTCGATAACCAGATTTTCCTTCGATGTCGCGCGCAAATCGTTGGCAGTGCTGGCGACTGGTACAACCAGCCACCCGGGATGGCGGAATAAAGTGGACGAGTGCGAAACCTGGAGACGTACGAGCGCCTCCACAGGTGTATGTAGATTAATATACAGGTAAAATAGCTTGGGAGCGCCAATGCATCGGGAAAGATTGGTCTGCGAGCAGGAGCAGAGGAATGGGATACGAACGAGCGGATGCCGATTCGGAGTTAATCTGCCTTCGTTGCTTGATCCTCGGCCGCAGGAGCGTCGATGGCCTCTTCAGTCGTGGCTTCGATGGAGCGTTCCGTATGAGCGAGTCCGCTCTCTTTGTTGATAGGGCTCGTGGGGTTCGTCGGGGAGACAGAGAGTGCAGGGTGACCGTTGGAAGGAGGGGTGGCGGCATGCGGAATGCTGGCCATGGACATTAAGGGCACCGACAACGGAAGTGTGAGCAGGATAAGCACGCACTTCTCGAAGTTGGGGATGGCGGTTCCAACGGCAGCTTGAGGCTCCACTCCGGCCTTGGACAAGGCGTAGTCGCCCGAATCAAAGTACTTGCGATCCTGGTCGATGCGATGGGATTAGATGACGATGACGATGGAGGGTGGAGCAGAAACAACGAGGGATACAAACCTTTTGCATCTTCATGAGAACATTCTTGTGTGTCGGTAGTTTGCCGTACTTGGCGAACAAGAGCTGCTCCTGTTCACTGAGTTTCTGCAGGGTAGGAGTCGGTAACGAGATCGAAAAGGACTTGTGAAAGACCGACACTCAGATCGACTTTGTTACGTTGTGCGGGGAGCATCGTTTATCGAGAGTCGTTGGAAACAATGGGACGAAGATGTCTGAGATGAAGGTAAGATGCAAGTTCCTTGAGGGCCTCAGCGGAGTTTCGGCTATTACCGACTGTGTCTAGATTGGGTGTGGTATTTGATCCCATGCACACTGGTCACCGTTGCTATGATTACATATGCGTGTTTGCTCTACTGTATGGTTATTTACCATTCTGCCCATTCCAAATCCTCGTGTGAAGCTGGTGCTCCACTGTCCATGACAACGTCAATAGAATTACCCGCTGGATGCTCCAATGCTGCATCCCGACCCTCGGACAAGTCTGAATCAAACAGATCTTCGAACGCCTCCAGACCGGCTTCTGGCTCGGGCACAGACCGACAATGATCGAAGTCGATACACGGGTCCGAGCCCAGAGTGAGCCTACGAGACATACATGGGAAAGGAGAATCGAGCGGAGTTGCAATGGCGGAGGGGAACACTATTAAGTGGTCGGGTGACTCTGGACCGGCAGCTGATTGCGTTTCTGAAGTGAAGCTCCAGTCTAAACTGGGCTCGTCATGGCCTTCGAAAGAAAGGTTCTGACGCAGATAGGCATTCTCGAAGAGAGTCGGTGGGAGACGGTCGGCTGAGTCGTCATATCCGTCAGAGTTCATGTCCAGTATTTCTGCGTCCAAATCCATCAGGGAGTCCGCTTGACCCGCTGGATTCAGAATGACATCGAAGAGTGGGGTTGGAGAAGAGGTGTTGACAAGCGAGCTCTCCAGTCGCAGAAGAGGTGGGCGCCATAGTCCATCGTCTTCCAGATCCGGAGGTGTTTGAGAGCCGTTATTGTCGGCTACGACTTGTTCGGTTCGTCGGTTAGACACAGAGCCACGCCCGATACCCTGCAGTTATGATTAGTGGTAGGACCCTGTGCGATAAGAGAAAGTCGGAACCTTGAATTGGGGGCGACGTAAGCACATTCGATATCGAAGTTCCATCGCAAGGGAGAATGCCTCTTCTGAAGTAAACTCAGGACCATCTCGGTCTTGATTTGAGTAGGCTAAGAGAGAGGCTACGGCGCTCTCGAGGTTTGCCTGTTGCTCGTTCCGGATGCGCTGTTGCTATCCAGTCTTCCGAATGAAGATGTATTCTAGGGAACGAGCACCTTGATAATCGCTTTACAATCTCTGCGGAAGAGCCCGTCCGATCTCTTGATCATTCTAGATATTGACCGGAAGATCTTGTCGAAGTAAGGCCGTTCGAGAGAGAGTTGCTAGATCACAAGTGAGACGAGATTAACAGGGGCCAGACAATGCAGCACTTGAGCCCAAAGTCCGAAGATGAGGGGATAGCGTCTATGACTGTCAGTCAAAAATGAGTTCAAGTAGCTCCTGAGGCGGATATACCGAACGAGATGCCAAGTGACGAAATGATGGAGAACGGTGTCGAGTAACATTCGAAAAGGAAGCGACAAGTAGGCAGAGAACGGAGAGATGAGAGAAACCGTCGAGCACTCAGTAGTCTCAGCCTTCCAGGCAAATTTGAGATCAATCCTGCTCAGCGAAAAGTGGACACCGGCAAGTGGGGGACAAGGGTCTTGCGGTAGAGCGATCTTGACTATTCATCCGATTGGCTACGGCAGGGTCGACGTGAATCAAAGCTTACACTTGACGAGACCGTCCTTGATATCGATGTATGCGCTTGACACTAGAGAGATGCCCAGTTCCATACTAGTCTATGCGGCGATAACGGTCTCACACATTGTAGCCACAAGCAGAGTACTTACCGATTGGAAGTAGTCAACAATCATTTCAGTCAATCTGGAGGCAAGGATTTCCTCTGCGGACACCTTATCTTTGTTGAAGGAACCAGAGATAGTGAACACGAGCTCGGAGATGAGAATGATATCGACGCCGTCGGGCAGCACCATTTTTCGAAAAGGATTGGTGTACTGGGATGAATTGTAGTGGTGACTTGCATGCAGTGTTACGCGAGCCCAGGGAGATGTGGCGCGGGCTACGGTCGACGCGACGAACATGGCAGTACTGGAGAATTTCGGCAGTCTCGGCGATCTGTGACGATGCTGGTCATAGTGACGAGTGTGACTTACTCTGTGCTAGGCTCTGCCGGCGCGACACAGCCCTCTCACCATTTGAAAGTTCTTCCTCTCCACTCCTTCGCCTTCTGTATCCGTTGCAGGCGAGGTCGAACCTCGCACCGCTAGCCCATGGTCGAGTCGATTTCTTCAGTTCATTTCGGCTCGCTGACATCCCTTGTAACTCTTTCGCTTATACAGGCCAACGAACTGGACCAGAAAATCCAGGAAGTTTACAAACATATCCAGACTGAGCGCAAGATCCTAGAGGCTTCGCAGCTTCTCCGACAGGCTACCTCTAACCAGGATGTCCTTCGCCGTAACGACGCGAAGATCAGGGAAACCGAGCGTTCACTATCATACTTTGAGTCAACGCTAAGCGAGCTTCAAGCGCGCAAAGCGCAGCAGTCGCAGGGGGGATACCCTGGCTCAGTACCTCCACAGGTGCGCAGTCCTATTCCGAGGCTCTGGGTCCGATCCGATGTATCGATTATCTATTTTAGGTTCCTCCCAAATCTGATGCTTGGGGGGGACGCGGGCCTGTGCAAGGGCAAGTTCCCATGTCGGGGGCGGCTGGCACAGGTGATGCGCCAAAGCCGCGGATGTACTCCAACCTCGACCTCATCAAGGCCGAAACGCCGCACACACCGCAGAAGATATCGCGCATGCTCCACCAACTTGAGTTCAAACTTCGCCTCGAAATGCAGTACAAAGGAGGCATTGAAAAGATGTCCAAACTGTATCAACAAGATGGAGATAAAAAGTCGCGCGCCGATGCCGATGCGAAGAAGATTGAGAGTGACAAGAAGATTCAACTCCTACAAACGGCACTCAAACGGTACAAGAACTTGCACATTCTTGATGACGTAGAGGAGGAGGAAACAGGTAAGCGATCATCGTGCTCCCTTTCATCTCGTCTGATCGGTGCTCTCCCAGTTGCACCTAGCGGGCCCGGTAGTGAGGGTGACCGGAAGGATAATCTCCGAGCAAAACCCTTGTCGGGCATCCTGCAGGTCACCATTCAAGGTGCCAGAGAACTCGATCATGCGCCAATAGTCTCAAGATCGCGGTCTGCCTCTAAGCAGGGTACTGAGACAGTGGTCTCACTGAAAGTGGAAGGATCTCAGCTTGCGCGCTCTCATCCAACTCGTACAGACCGATGGAATGAGGACTTCGAGATCGCGGTGGACAAGGCGAATGAGGTCGAAATCATGCTGAGTGACAAACAACTCTCGGAAACTCAGAGTGTTCCGATCGGTCTCCTGTGGATTCGGATTAGCGATCTCGTTGAAGCTTTGCGGAGGCAGAAAGTGGGAATGGACAGTGGGCCGGGTTGGGTCACCGCTGGCGCTATGCCGGGCCAACCGATGCCCAACGGCGGGGACATGAATTCACCTCTCGGAGGCGGTCCTACCATGATGGGCATGAACCAGACAGCAGACGGCATCGATGCGTGGTTTTCGGTGGAGCCTGCTGGTGCCATCTTGTTGCGTTTGAACTTCAGCAAGTGATCTTTCGTTCTTTTTCGTGCAGGTGCTGATGACATCTCTCAGTCAAGGAAAATGTTCGCAAGCGGCCGTTGGACGCTCCCATCGGTGGTCTCGGCCGTCAAGGCGCAGTTCGAAAGCGAAAAGACGAAATTCACGAAATGAACGGGCACAAATTCGTCCAGCGCCAATTCTACCAGCTCATTCGCTGCGCGTTTTGTTCCGAGTTTTTGGTCAACGCTGTGGGATACACGTGCGAGGATTGTCGGTACACTTGTCACAAGAAGTGCTACGAGAAGGTGGTTACTAAGTGTATATCCAAGTCGAACACTGGCGTGAGTGCGTTCAGTCTGTTTCGGAGCTGTCATTCTGACCTTTCAAATAGGAAGGCGATGAGGAGAAGATCAATCACCGGATTCCCCACCGCTTTGAGCCTCTGACCAACATCGGAGCGAACTGGTGCTGCCACTGTGGCTATATGCTGTCTTTGGGCAGAAAGAATGCCCGCAAGTGCTCCGAATGCAACATTACTGCGCATGCCAACTGTGTCCATTTGGTTCCTGATTTCTGTGGCATGTCGATGGAAACTGCGAATATCCTTCTTCGCGACTGGCGCGACATCAATAAGAGTCGTAGCCAAGCTCCGCGAAAGCAGCTCGCCACTCCGATCACCGAATCTCCGACAGCGGCCATGGGCAACATGAGGATCAGCGGCCCGGATTCCGTTCCGCCGCCCGACTACAACAGGGCACCACCTCCTGCTCCGAATCAGTACGGCCAAGATCCTCGCCAAGATCCGCGGTATCATGGCCAACCCGGCCAACCACCGTACGCGCCTCCAGGTGCTAATCGACCACCTTCAGGCGGAAGGCCACCAGCTGGTTCTGGATATGAACAACCCAGTACATTGCCCCCCGGCGCCTACGAGCCGGGTGTGGAGATTGGGCCCGATGGTTATCCTGCTGCATACCCAGTAAGATTCTGCGAGTGAGTCGAAGATACGTTTGCTCAATATTTTACAGGGGCCTGCGAGAGGTCCCCAGCCGGGGCCTGGCCCACCACGCAAGCAGTCTGGTCTCCCCACATCGCCTACTCAACCAGCTCAGCCTACTCAGCGTCAGAGTCTTGGGCCCACATCGACGGCGCAGCCCCCTCGCCAGCAATCCGGACAGCAGATGGTGCAACAACCCGCACGCCAGCCGTCGCGGAAACGGAAAGTGGGCCTGGACGACTTCAATTTCCTGGCGGTGCTCGGGAAGGGTAACTTTGGAAAAGTCATGTTGGCTGAGGAGAAGAAGACGAATGGGCTGTATGCCATCAAGGTTCTCAAGAAAGAGTTTATCATCGACAACGATGAAGTCGAGAGGTACGGCCTGAAAATCTTGGCAGATTTGCGTCTGATCTCGCATGCAGCACTCGTTCTGAAAAACGGGTCTTTTTGGCTGCTGCGAGAGAGCGTCATCCTTTCCTCCTTGGACTGCACTCTTGTTTCCAGACTGAAACGCGGGTGTACTTTGTGATGGAATATGTCAGCGGCGGTGATCTCATGTTGCACATTCAGCGCAAGCAGTTCTCTCTGCGGCAAGCCAAGTTCTACGCCTGTGAAGTCCTGCTTGCCTTGGAGTATTTCCACAAAAACGGCATCATCTACCGGTAAAGCAATATCTACAATCAGCATCCGAAAGCTCATGTGTTTGCAGCGATCTCAAGCTCGATAACATCTTGCTAACCCTCGATGGCCATGTCAAAGTGGCTGATTACGGGTTGTGCAAGGAGGAGATGTGGTACGGAAAGACGACGAGCACGTTCTGCGGCACGCCAGAGTTCATGGCCCCCGAGGTCTGTCTGGTCTGATGTGTCGCACTCATTCTCAATGCCGTGTGACAGATTCTGCTCGAGCAGCGATATGGCCGCGCTGTCGATTGGTGGGCGTTTGGTGTGCTGACTTACGAAATGTTGTTGGGCCAGTCCCCTTTCCGAGGAGATGACGAAGACGAAATCTTTGATGCTATCTTGGAAGACGAGCCCCTGTATCCCATTACCATGCCACGAGATGCGGTGTCCATCTTGCAGAAGGTGGGATCGTCCTCGCTCGAGGGAGCGCAGACCGGCTGACTGACTGGCATGTGCTACAGCTACTGAACCGAGATCCTCTTCGCCGACTCGGTGCCGGGGAAGAAGATGCCGAAGAGATCAAGAGACAGCCGTTCTTCAAAGACGTCAGCTGGGACGACATAATGAACAAGCGCATTCCCCCGCCGTATTTCCCGACCATTGTAAGGCTGTCACGCTGTCGTTTCCAACGCCGAGCTGACTGGCATATGACAGAATGGCAGCGCTGATACGAGCAATTTCGACGAAGAGTTCACCAAGGAGCAGCCGACGCTGACACCCGTCCATGGCCAACTGTCATCTCGGGACCAGCAAGAGTTTGCTGGCTTCTCATGGGTTGCGACTTGGGCTGACATCTAGGCCGGCCGGCCCCGCAATTGATTCTGTCATGTTGTACTACTTACATAGCCGGCTAACGATGTTGTAAGCACTGCCTGTATCAGTCTGCGTAAATTGGATTGTATTTAATTGATACCCTCTTGCAACAAAGCCACCAGACACTCTCTGACCAGTTTCGCATCGGCCCGGCCCCGGCTCTCCTTGATGACCCTGCCCATGATCTTATTGAGAACATTTTGATGGCCCCGTCGGAAGGCGTCTGCTTCCGACGGGAGCGCCAGGATGGCTGTTCGACAGGCATGCTCGATATCGATATCACCCCCTGTAGACATCAGACCCAATTCACGCGCCCGCTCTGTTGGGTTTTGCGTCGACGGCGAGGCAAGCATCACTTTGATGAGAATCTTGCCCGAAGGACCTGTTGGGGCTTTAGTCTGCCGCAATTTCTTGAAACGAAAGACCAGCCTCACCAGTGATCGCCCCAGTCTGTATCAAATCAACGAGGTCCCCCAGGTGGGCCGCCGAGATTGGGTTTTCCGCAAACGTCAGCTTGGAAGAATACAGGCGCCCCAGTAGTTCATGAACCATCCTTCAAAACTTGTGAGATGTATCACTGACCAAGTGTGGTCGCCACACCCACCAGTTGAATACGACACGGGGATTTCGGCTCTTGGAACTGCAAACTTGGTCAAAATAAGAGACTGCGCTCTCTCTCCCATGGTCAAGATGGATGAGAACGTCAGCGTCTTTGTCTGTCAGCTGGTACGACTTAAGCAGTCGCTCGCGGGTCTCCCAAGGGAGTTCGGGCATCGTCTCTCTGATTCTGTCAACTCTTTCCTGGAGAACATGAGCCCAATCGAGCAGCAAAAAAGCGCAAAGGCGGACTTGGGAAAGGGCTAGAACCTGCAAATTTGGGTCGGGCATATAACGGTAGTCCAGGGCGTCTTCCTTCGACCGCATTTTAAATGTCTCCAGCGTATCTTGATTGAACCCGCGTGTCTCCTGCGGCACGGATCCACCAGAGTCCAAGATTTGCACGTGTCTTTTAGCTTCCCAAACTGGCGCGCTCAGATGTGAGGACTCGAATCGAGTTGAGAACTGGCCAGACACACTGATTGCAGCTTGCATAGCCTTGACGGAGTTCAAGTTCTTGATTTCGCACCGTGTCCCGGGCTGATCTCCAGGCTTATTCACCGACACATTGACGTCGCAACGCAGAGAGCCCTGTCAACAGGTTCGCAATGTCGTGCAATCGTTACGAGGAGTCTGACCGCTTCCATATTTCCGTCGCTCACACCAATGGCACGAAGAATCATTTGCAACGTTTTGACATATGCGCCGGCTTCTTCTGGCGACCTGCAAAGCTAATAGAGCATAGCTCTGTTGCTCGTGGCAGACTCACCTCATGTCTGGTTCTGTGACTATTTCTAGGAGACCCGTGCCTGCTCTATTCAGATCTATGCTTGAGGTTCTTGTCTTCGAATCGAACGTCGCCTTCGCAGTATCCTGCAAACACCTCAGTTGAAGTTCTTGTTACTTGGTCACGACATACTTGCTCGAGCTGAATCTGTTTTATCCTCACAGTCCGGGAAGTCTCTCGTACTTCGATATTACCTCCAAGGGCAATAGGGGCTGTGGAAGGAGCCGGGGTCAAAGAGACGTCGCGGGAAATCAGCGGAGGAACAGACCGTAATGTTGAGTGATCTGGTAGCCAGAAGGCAAATCTGTATAGAAGTAATGTTTCCGATCAAATGAAGAGCGCATTTGTAGCGCAGAATCCAGAGCCAGAGCTGTTCGGATTGCGAGGTGAACACATTCCTGATTGACTTTCTACAAGAGTCGTCAGTCGACGACATGGATCCAGGCAACTAGTACAAACAGGAAGCGTTCCTGGAAATGCCGCATCAAAAGGAGAAACATGAATGTTGGGCGCTTCTCCCAAGGTAGAGTTGAGAGAGTCTGTATAGTTGCTGAGTCTGTAAGTTCAGGTTTCAACACACGCGACGAGCCTGAGAAAAGCTTGTGACGTGAAGCAATCTGTGCGTGAGTCTCGATTCCAACGACCACTTCCCATCCTGGCCAGCGTCTGTCGTTCACAGCGCCGTGAAGACATCTTCGCAGGGAGAAAGATGATGGCAGGAATCTGGCGAGCATACACGGTCCGATGAATCCGCCCTGCACGTGATCGCGCATGGTATCGGCGTGGGTAACGTCGCCGCGTAGCTTGTTGAGACTGGTCTACGATGTCCGCGAACCCGCCTCCCAACATCCGAGTCGTTGTCCGGATTCCACACAATCGTCCTGAGCAAGCCATCCCTGATCCGCCCCGGATAGAGTGGACCCAGGAGAAAGCCGATATACTCTGGAAGGTTATCGAGCGCTCACGATCTACCGACAACGCAGGAACAGACTGTTGGTTCCCTTGTTATGAGATACATGCAGAATGAGCTGACTGCGCTAGGGAAGGGACTAGCTGCGCATCTGGACGTCCCTCTCCCTTACCTCCTCTACCGGGTTCAAGGGCGATTTCAAGAAGAGCTTCGCGGGCTTCAAGATATACCAGGGGTATCTAGTCCTTCGGTTGCGCAACCAAACAACAAGCCTTTCGAAGATGCGGCGATCTCCCCCATTGACAAACCTTCCTCTGTCGCCATGCGGGCCGTGCACCGTTTGAGCACGAGTGGCAGGATGTCACCGGCTGGCCGGCTTTCGACGCCTTTGGGTGTACGGGCCCGGCTTAATTCGCTGGGGAAGAACTCCGTGCCGCAGCCCAAGAAAGCACTTTCCTCGTCCACGCTTACCGCCCAAGTCACATTCGGTGGTGGGCCCGCGAAACGCACCCTGAGTCCGCCTTCGTCAAATCCGGAGTCAGGCACGGATTCCGAGGACGAAGAATCGAAGCGCGAAGAAGAGGCTGAGCGCAACGCCGAGGAACAAGAGTCGCTCGAACGCAAACTACAAGAACTGCAACTTATGGTGACCAACGAGTCTTTAGGCCTGGTATCCCGTCCACCTCGGCCGCCGCTTCACAGCAGCAGCAGCAGCAGCAAAGGGAAAACGAGGGCCATTGAAGTAGACCGTGGACGCGCCAATCAGATCAACACCCTCCCCGCTCAAATGACATTCAGACGGGAGAAAGCATACAGTCCGATGAGCGTGTCGAGCGCCAGTTCTGCTCAGAGCTCGATTCCTGATATTCCTTCGCCGTCGAATGGATCAAGAACGCATTCTCCCATGAGCCGACATCTTTCACCGAGCAAATCGTCCAGTCCTCCGGCATTGTCACCCCGCAGCGCGCTCGGGAGAGCGTATGCGACAGAACAGGGCAGCAATCAGGGTTCAGAAGCGTCAAGCTTCAGTGATATGAGCGGTATGTCTTCCTGATGGACGTAGACTCTCTGGTTGAATGCTTTCAGATCTATCTACCTCGGCGTTGGACAGTGCGTTCTTGTCCAACTTCCGTGGGCCAGCCTCCCGAGTGAGCTCAGTCTTCAGCGGTCGCAGTCGCATGTCCACGCGCCCATTTCCCTTGTAATATCATACTCATACATTGTACATCATTTTCCAATCATGTTCGTCCAATCAAATTTAGTGTACTTTTGCTTGAATTGGAGAACGCGCTCTTTGTTGCTGTGGAAGTCGATTCGCTTCGGTCGTCTCCACCGGCGAGGCTCAATCTCTAGCACATTGCCAATAATTTCGCCCGCAAAGTACCTGTTTACGGGGGCTGAGAAGCGAGGATAAAGGGATCAAGAGTGGAACGTACTTTGGAAATTCTCCGCCGCCCTTTTCTCCTTCCTCCAGACCACCATCCTCCTCATTGGCTGCATCCCCGGTACCTTCGATCACATGACCGTAACCTTTCTCGCCTTTATAGTCGAATTGAACCATGAAATAAGGCAGATTCGGAACCATAGCACGCCGGAAACCTCCCGGCCGTCTAGAGAAATCGATCAGTTTCTTGTGCTGCGACCATTCAGCCTCGGAGGCAAGAATCGATTCCTGAATGGGGATCAGTGCTGTTATGCGGTGTATCACCGGTGTAAATGAACCTTGAAGTACTGGGGAATGTCTTCGAACTGCTCCCAGGGAAGCGGAACACATTCAATGCATGTGTGTTTCTGCCATTTCAGCGTGATTACGGTCTCATAAAAGATGACGCCCTTGTCTTCTTCAGCGAACATCCGCATCAGACATTTCATGAAATTCTGTTCAGTAGAGATCAGAATATATTATCCGAGTCGGGCGAGGAGAACGTACCCGGACTTCATCCCAAACATCATCGTCAGCTTCAAGCATGTTGAGATGATGCTGGATGGGAACAATCAGACAATGCCCATCCACCAGTTCCTCATTCGGAGTGCACGAGAGATATGCGCGAGTGCCCATGGCCACTACAGCACATTTTGGCGGCGAATCGTCTTCCCCGAAACAATAAACACACTCGGATAGCACCTTTTGCGTGCGTTTAAAGTCTGATAGTGGTTAGTTCTTTCGCGAGGAAAGAGGACGTTCAGTACAGACCATGAATCGCAAACTGGCGCTTCATAGCATCGGAACGCATTTTCTGACGGCCAAGCTTTTCAGCATTGTCATCGATGTAGTCCAGATCATTCTGTGGAACATGAGGCTTCAAAGACAATCATTCGTTCGATGAGACACACCTGGAACTTGCCATCACCCATGATTTGTCTAGCAAACTCGGCGTCCAAGTTCTTCTGATCTGACATGCCCCCGCCGAATTTCTCCTGCCGCAGCATCTCACCCAAAGTAGTCGTGTCGTCGTTGGCATTGATTCTCAAGACCTCACCGGTTTTGGGATCGCGCGTTTCGAACTATGGCAGTCAGCGGGAGAGATATCGAGAACAAAGAAGTCACCGACTTTAGCTTCCTTCTTCCTGCGATTTCCCGGCAGATTTGCGTCCTCAACCGCGCCATGGCCCACATCGTACAGCTTCCCATGCCCATCGAGCGTTGGAAGCATCTCCACCTTGGTACGTACTCCGTTCTCAGACACCACACCTTGCGCTTTGCGAGACTCGGCATCATATTCTCGTTCAAGCGCCTCTGCATCAGAGGAGCCCATTAACTTGGCTCTGAGCACTTTAGCCTGCAGCCGGTTCAATGAAGACGGTGACATCGCACGCGTTTTCGGTCCACCGACGGGAGGCGTGAGCATGGCTGGAATCGGTGTGCGACTTTGAGCGAGGGGCGAGCCCGTTTGTGAGGGCAGTCGGAGCGAGTCGAAGCGTCGGGCAGCATATGAAGGTGCCCCACCCAACGGTGTAGGTGTCGAGGGCCCGCTCTCGCCGCTGTCTCGTGGCCCTCCTGGACGCTTGAATGATGAACCACGACCACTGCCTCCCACGTCATTGAACATGAAGCGCTTCTCCCCGTCGGTTCCTCCGGCGTAGGATCTGGTATTGCGATTGTCCCGCTCTCGATCTGACCGCTTTCCGTTGCGTTCGTCCAAGATTTGACGCTCCTTCTTGGCTTCTTCAAAGGCTTCTAGCGATCCGAATCTGTCGATAGCAACTTCCTCGATGGGTAGACCCTCTTCCTCCGCAGTCTCATAGACTCGGCGAAGTCTCATCATTCTCCACTGCGATCCCGGTCCACCTGGAGTAGCCGCTTTGGCGGGCGGAGGAGTCTCCACATCGATGCTTGTGTTGTTTCCGAGCCTGAGATCCTGATTGAGCTCTTTCGCATGAATGATAGGCTGTATAACATGTCAGGCCCGAGTACCCGCCTATGTGCTTTTAAACGCAACTTGATCCACATCTGGTTTGTCAGGTCGCTTCTTCATGTCCGCGCCTAAGCTTGAGAAAAAATCGACGCCACCAGCAACTGTCCTGTTGTCACCCAGTTCTTCGCCGTAATCTTCTGTGAGCGAGGTATTCCCAACATCCCGCTCGCCGGAGGTCCGCACTTGGACAGGTTGTGATGCAGTTGGAGGCGCTAGCATCCAGTCATCTCTCTTGAGAGTGGACTCTGTCGATGAAGTTGGCGGAAGGGGAGGGCCCGACCGACTGGGAGGTGCAGAAGATTGAATTTTGAGGCTCTCCGCTGTAGGTATCGTCGTAGCTAGCGGCTGTTTACGATTCAATTGATGCGACCAAAGGAGCGGGGCAGCTTGACGCACGCGTTCACCATCCATATCGATGTTCTTCTCCACCCATAAGTCCTCGTCGTCAGGATCCTCGTCGACGATCGTGGTCTGCTTCGACTTTTTGTGTTTGCGGTGACTATCCTCATGCCTACTCCGCTTCTTGCTCTTCCTTTCGGGATCATCTTTGCGAGAGCGCTTGTGTTTTGACGACGAGGACGCTTCGTCCATGCTACGCGGTTGACTTCCAAGTTCAAGTTGTAGAGGTGACGTCACGGAACTGTCAAATCTTCATTTCTGCTCTGGTCTAATACCTTCTACCTACTACCTTGTAAGTTGGTGCATACGACCTGCCTAAACATTTCCTCCACGATAACTGGTACACTATTAATGTCAATTCATTCGCTTTGTCCGGTCGTAACATGGATTCCCTCCAAGTCTCCCTTTGCACGCCAATCTTTAAGCAAGTTGATGTAACTCACATAGCCTTCACCCCATGCCGAAGCGCGAGCAGCTTTGAGCTCTTCTACCGGATCTTTGAGACGGGCATGCTCTCCTTGGCTGTTGAAGTATCCTGGCGTGCATCCAGGAACAGCAGCGAACCATCCGGATCTCTTGACCACCTCGTCGGCCCATCGTTCCTCGGCGTCCTTCTCAACCTCGACGACAACCTGGCCGGGACGATCAACGTCTTTATGCGCCTGTGCGACTATCCAGGCGACCTGCTTGGAGACCGTGTCGAGGGCGGACATGAAGTTGGCCGTGAACCCAAGCTGGGAGAGACCAGGGAGGAAGAAGAAGTTGGGGAACCCGTTCGATGCCAAGCCATGCAGAGTGCTGCACCCTTCTTCTCGCCACTTCGCCTCCATATCCCGCCCGTCACGGCCGGTGACTCGGAAGTTTCCACGAGATGCCGGACACCCAGACCCAGCAACGAGCCCGACGATGTAGCCCGTGCTGAGAACGAGAATGTCGATCGGATATTCCTTGCCATTCGCGATCACACCGGTGGCCGTCATTGAGTCTACGCCCTTCCCATCAGTGTCGACGAGTGTGACATTGGGCTTGTTGAATGCGGGGAGGTAGTCGTCGTGGAACGTAGGACGCTTGCACCATACGGGTACCAGGCCTTAAGATTCTCGGCTGTGGCAGGATCTTGGACGATCTCGTCCACCCGGGCCCTCACTCTCTCGGCGCGGGGAAGGTCAACGGCATTTAGTGCGGCGATATGGTCGGGGACCTTATCGGGCGTGATAAACGTGGGAGTTGGTGCTCCGTTGATGCCACAATATGCAGGCATTTTGCACCAGCCGTCCGCCACCAGATCCGGGCCCTCGGGTGTGTTGACCATAATCAGATTGAAATTCATCGCGCGGGCCTGCTGCCAGCCTTTCCCGGTGGCGATCTTCGTCTTCCATTCGATAGGATCAGTGCGGCGCTGGCCTCGCACGTCGACGCTCGACGGTGTTCGCTGGAAGACGTAAAGATGTTTCGCCCACTTGGCCAGTTCAGGCACGACTTGAATGGCTGTCGCACCAGTGCCTATGATGCCCACGCGCTTGTCTTTGAGCTTGTCCATGGTCCAATCTGTCGGTGTTCCCCCGGTGACCGGATAGTTCCATCGAGCGGTGTGAAACATAGTGCCCTGGAACGTGTCCATGCCAGGCAGCAGCGGTATCTGAGGCGAAACGATCGCTCCAGCGGCCTGACATAGGAACTGTGAGTACACCCAAAACGACCGCTCTGGCTCATCCGGCCCACGGTATTCCCGCAGGCCGACTTTCCATCGCTTCTGATCGTCGAGCCACTGCGCCTCGTGATAGACCGTTCTGAAGGACCCGTTGTTCTTGAGCCCGTAGTGCTCTGCGATGTGTTCGGCGTGTTCTCGCAGTTCGTTCCCATAGGCATACTTGAATGTCGGCATGTGTCCGAGTTCCTCCAGCAGGGGCATATAGATGTAGCTTTCGATGTCACACATCAGGCCTGGATACCGATTCCAGTACCAAGTCCCACCAAATCCGCCTGCCGCGTCGACGAAGCGAATGCTCGCCGGGTCGAAACCAGCCTCGACCAGACGCGCAGCCAGCACAAGCGCACCATAACCGGCGCCGAGAAGGAGGAACTTGATGTCGTCTCCGTCGTTCAGCACATGCTGTGCATTGTTGAGAGCATCGTGATCGACCCATGGGTCGGTCTCGAGTTGCTTGAACTTGTCCGACAGCGCGAGCTCCACAAACTGCGAGGTTCCATCTGAACGCAGCCGCTTCTCGCGCTCTTGAAGGTATTTGTCTGGGATACCGGTTTCGCGGAGGCCGTTCATTGTGGAGTTGGGACTGGAAGGTACTTCTGTAGGGCTTTTATACCATTCATCGGCTTCGCTCCGTGGTATGGGAAGGGAACTGCTCACCCGATGAGATTAGACAGCTGACGAGTCTGGTGAGCACCGTGCGACCACGCTTAGACGCAGTGCTAATACTGAACAGCCCTCGAGAATGATTGAGCCATGCTCGAAACTGGATTGGACTTCACAAGAGGTTGGACATCCCAGACCATTGGTGGATGTCGAGGAGGTGTAGCTGCAAGTACCCAGCCCATCTGGCTATCATCAATGAGGGTCGGCGCAATCCAGATAAGGGTCACGTTATCGCATTTCACGGCAGAGCCAACGTCGGAACAGGAATGCCGCTGTACCCCGCATTCTCTTTGAGCCACTTAGACTCGAAGCCTCGGCTCAAGCTCCTTCTTCATCGATGCAGAAACAAGGCAAGCAGCAAGAAGGCTTCCCAGTCAGTTTGGACTAATGACCATTAGCCTAGCTGATTAGGTGCTGACTTGAACGAAGAGGTGCGTGATCGGAAAATCGTGGCCAACGGTCCCACGACACACCACACTCCCAAATTGGGAAATTGCTTGGTGGGAGCAAATATCGGCGATCGACTGCAGGAACACTCTGATGTAGTGGTTGACAACGACAGAGGACAGAAATTTCCTCAGCATCCCCTGTAGGTACCCTCGTATGAGTCTTCTCCCCTCAAAATTACTCCTCCCAGTGTAGATGGTAGTCGCGTCGTTACTATAGGTTTCTGGGTGCTCAGCACTCTTTCCAGGCCACGTACTACTTCCAGACCGCATGCATTCACATGTTAATTGAGACTGTGCTATTGATCGTATTCTGCTCTAAAACCCTCGGAGGAGTATCAGAGTCGACCGTCAAGAGCGTTGAGAGTGTGCGACAGGCGCGTCAATGCCGAGCAGCCGAGTGATGCTGGATCAGTAAAAAATGATCAACGCTTACAAATCTCCTGCTGGCGTCGCCACATCAGAGAACAAGATCTTCCGATCACGTACCTCTTGCATCACATCAACAGTCAGGGAAATGACTAATGACCCCCTGTCATGTAAGACCTGAAACTATCTCCCGAATCCCGATCCCCAAGGACATTCCGTGAGGGCCTAGGAAGTGAGGAGCAATTCGTGCCACTGTATTGACCGGGAAAAACCAAGCTGGCATTCTCACCAAGACAACGACTTGCTCGATACGTAGCAAGTGTGGATTGTTGCAAGCGACCCGGTGTGGGGCATGTGAAAATTGATCATGATGGCACGTGTCGATCACCTTTTTTGAAACTGGGACCATTTTAGGTGCTCAAGCTCTCTCCTGGTCTGCCCCGTCATCCGGTCTTCCTCGTTCCCAGTCATGTCGCTCGCTGATCTATTAATTGGGGTCACCCCATTCACGCTCCCCCGCCATCTCACCAGCTTTGTTGAGGGCCAGACGCCGTTGTCAACGACCCCGGTCGTGCTCGGCACTCTGGCCGCATACCTGGCTACGATCTTTGGAATTCAAGCAGCCATGAAAAACCGCCCGCCCCAGAAGCTCAATGCTCTTTTCCAAGTCCACAACGTCTTCTTGAGCGGTGGAAGTCTCTTGCTTCTGGTTCTGATGATGGAGGAGGTCATTCCTATCATTTGGAAGAACGGGTTTTTGAACGCCATTTGTCGTGAGGATTCCTGGACTCCGGTGCGTCTCATTCATACAGCATCCTTTTCTACTTCTTAACTTCGCCCCAGCGCCTGGAATTCTACTACATGATCAACTATTACTTCAAGTACATTGAACTCATTGACACGGTGTTTCTCGCTTTCAAGAAGAAGCCGCTTGGTGAGTCTCATCCCAAGCTTCATTTCTGGTCCCTGTGCTAACGGCTTCAGCTTTCCTCCATGTGTTCCACCACTCTGCAACGGCTCTCCTATGCTACTCTCAACTCCTCGGAAAAACGAGTATTGTCAGCGCATTCCTCTTATATGACCTCACACGCCGCTCACCCTCCCTTGTTAGTCATGGACTGTCATTAGTCTCAACTTGACCGTCCATGTTTTGATGTGTGCGTGACACTCACCTCGAAGTGTGCCTTCATTGACGCGTCCGCAGACTACTACTACTATGCTACTGCCGGCGGCGCCAGGATCTGGGTAAGTTATCATTGGGGGATTGGTCTCTTCAGTGCTCAATGCCGCGACAGTGGAAGAAGTACTTGACTATGATGCAAATCACTCAATTCGTGATTGACCTCTTCCTTGTTTACTTCGGGAGTGCGTAAAATTCTCAACGCTTGTTGCCGTGACTGAGCATTTACTCAGCTTACGGACACTTTGCCTCGACCTACTACGACGGAATTCTGCCTCACGTTGGCAACTGCGCTGGAACCGAGTCTGCCGCCGTCTTTGGCTGTGCGCTCTTGACCTCATATCTCGG